CCTATATAATCTGGATACCTGTCTAAACAAGACCTTTGACTAGGTCCCACTGTATACATTTTTACTGACCCTATATAATCTGGATACCTGTCTAAACAAGACCTTTGACTAGGTCCCACTGTATACATTTCTACTGAACCCATGTAATCTGGATACCTTTATAAACCAGACTTTCAACTTAAGGATGTACACCTCTGAGAAGTCAAAAAATTCCTGTATTAAACTTTTTTTCTTATATGGATTTTTGGAAAAAGGAGTTTATGGCATAGTAGAAAATGCGTAAAATACTATATGTCCGTGTCTTCGTTTTTGTGCTATGATTGGTCAAAGATACCAATTTAACACAACATGTGATTTTAGGTGATTTTTTGGGTTTTGACCATTTACAGAACAAATTCATACAATTTCTTCCAAGTGTGTTATCAGATATGTATGAATGTTTGTAGAATTGATGAAAATATTATTTTCTTTTAAATTATGGAAGTAACATTTCTTAATCTTATTCTTTTAACTCAGAAAGCCGATTTTAGTTACCCCTTAACCCCCTATTTTTTAATGAAAAAATACTTATTTTTTTACCATTTTTTGCAGATAAAACATTTGATATAAAAAGTTTTTTGTTATTTTTTTACCTTTTTTGGGGTCAAAAATCAAAAGTGCATCAGTTACACTAAAAATGTAAAAAAAATATCAATTATGTATTATTTGTCAGTTTGTTGCATATCATTTTTATCATATTAAACATTATAAAGTTGTACAGCAAAATTGAACCTGCTACAGTTAAAAATGGCGACACAATGACAACTTAAGTGATCAATCTAGTGTCAAAAAAGGTGAAAATTTTGCCTTTTTTGAAGCACAAGAAATACACATTAATACACGTTTTCAAAATGGCCACCGAATTGGGTATTTTTTTAAAATTCTCGTAAAAAAGTTCTACAAACAACAGGCATCTAGTTTTTTAATATATTTTTCAGATGCGTGTTTACTAATAAACTTGATCATGATTTGTTAAATATTACAAAAACCCGTTACACCAGGTCAAAACGATACTTGAACGTGATTGAAACCTCAGAAGGGTACATCCTGCAGTTTTATATTTTAATTGAACTTGTGTTATCTGGATACCTGTTTAAACCAGAGCATCAACTAGGCCCAACTATATGTATTTCTATAGAAATTGAACCTGTCTAATTATCTGGGTTCCTGTATTAATCAGAGCATCAACTAGGCCCCACTTATATGTGTTTCTATAGAAATTGAATCTGTCTAATTACCTGGATACCTGTTTAAACCAGAGCATCAACTAGGCCACACTAGATGTATTTCTATAGAAATTGAACCTGTCTAACTATCTGGGTACCTGTATTAATCAGAGCATCAACTAGGCCCAACTAAATGTATTTCTATAGAAATTGAACCTGTCTAACTATCTGGGTACCTGTATTAATCAGAGCATCAACTAGGCCCCACTATATGTATTTCTATAGAAATTGAACCTGTCTAATTATCTGGGAACCTGTATTAATCAGAGCATCAACTAGGCCCCACTGAATGTATTTCTATAGAAATTGAACCTGTCTAATTATCTGGGTACCTGTTTAAACCAGAGCATCAACTTAAGGCCCCACTATATGTATTTCTATAGAAATTGAACCTGTCTAATTATCTGGATACCTGTTTAAACCAGAGCAGCAACTAGGCCCCCCTATATGTATTTCTATAGAAATTGAACCTGTCTAATTATCTGGGTACCTGTATTAATCAGACAACTCTTTAAAGGTCCCTCTGTTAACATTTCTATGGAACCTTTGTAATCTGGAAACCTAAATGAATAACTCAGAACTTCAGTTCAAGGCCCCACCAAACATTTATATGTAAATTGAACCTGTCTTATCTGGGTACCTGTATAAATGAGACAAATCTTAAGATCCCACTGTTTACATTTCTATTGAACCTTTGTAATCTGGAAACTTTTAAAGTATAAATCAGGACTTCAGCTTAAGGCCTGACTCTACATTTCTGTGTAAACTGAACCTGTGTACTCTGGATACCTGTATAAACCAGATCTTTAACTGGGTTCCTGCATCCTCTCTGATGAACCTTTGCAGATTGAGACTGACATCTAGGCCCCACTGTATATACTCAGTGCTAGTAAAATTGTATACTGGTCATACACAGACGTAACGTATATATTTTGTTTGGGCTGTGAGAATTTACATACTCTGGCTGAGAAATTCTGTGAGGAAACCGATAGTGTTTATTAGCAATGGGGCATGCTGTCAAAATGTGGGCCATGTGGGAATTCTATTCCGATCATCACTTAAGGCTGTTTAAGCATGCTGTTTTATCAGCCAGTATATTCTCATGGTCTGTGCCGAATTATATCTGCTCCTCAGCCGGCCGTTAGATGTGAGGGTATGTAATATGTACCATCCTTGATTGTGTAATAGGAGCGGGAAAATGCTGTGGCCAGACCACTGGACTGAAACCTAGTGAAGCATGGTATTTTGAAACATGTCAACATGATCCCAGGGTCAAAATATCATTTTGGTGTAATATCCTTCCCACCCCCACCCCATGGTTAAGTGAACATCCCTCACCTGGTATGTAGCTCATGACGTTTCCTTTTGTGTCTTTTCTGATTTCTATACTTAAATATAACGTAGCATTGTTGAAGCGTTGAGAAATAAAATACTGTACTTAACTATCCACCAAAAGGTAGGTGGAAACTGCTTCAGTTCCCAAACAATTCATTAAGTAAGATCTATAAAAAATATTTGATCGGCAGTTTTGGATCGCTACAATTAATTGGTATATTTGAGGCCGTCATGGATTGAATTTTGTGTTAGCTGGTATTTGTAAGCACATGCATTTAATTAATTCATATTCTGCATTTTTTTCTGGCATTTAATCTATTGTGAAGGACCTCACTCGAGGTTGCCAATAAGTCATGAATTCCAACATTTTTAAAGCGTTCTAATAAAAAAAAGTGTACATTGTGCTAGAACTTCAACCCCATTTTGTACATGTTGCGACTAGTAAGTGGCGTTATAAAAAAGTTGACTGTACTTGTCTTACACACTGAGAGGTGCAATTAGGACGTCAACAAAGCCCAGGTTTGTATGAGTAAGATTAAACTCAAGGTTCTTGCAGCGTTTTCTTTGCATCTGAAGTTCAATAGGTTGGCTGAATAGGTAATCAAGCTGAAATGTGATACTGAAATCTCCGACCACACTCCGCGAAAATGTCAGAATTGTTCCTTTAAGCACCCCAAGTTAGATCTAACTTGTAAATAAGAGTTGCTGTTCACAATAAAAATTTGTAATTATTATTCAGTGACATTTATGCTGGCAGTAAGGAAAAGGTGCAAGATTACAAACTGTTTGAGCCAAGTATGTTTATTGTAACTTGATGATTCGACATAAAAAATACTGAACTGTTCTTTTTACACCATGCAAACATCCTTTAATTTCACACCCAGATTTAGTAAAATTTCCAGAGACTCATCTCTTAATTAGTTTTGTATCTTGACACTCTCATCTAGTATTGCAATAATGATCACCTCATTACCAACGGAACTATGAGAAATATGATAATATTATTTCGGATGGATATATTCTGGTCACCAGTCAGTTACTTAAGGTTCCCACATATTGCAGGCAAAAATATTATGGAGAGTTCCAGTGTGATTTTTCACACATAGTTACCTCCCCTGGTATATGGATTCTGTAGGATAGAAGGGACATTAGAGGCCGCATTATAACACATAGATACCTCCCCTGGTATATGGATTATGTAGGATAGAAGGGACATTAGAGGCCGCATTATAACAGATAGTTACCTCCCCTGGTATATGGATTCTGTAGGATAGAAGGGACATTGGAGGCCACATTATAACACATGGTTACCTCACCTGGTATATGGATTCTGTAGGATAGAAGGGACATTAGAGGCCGCATTATAACACATAGTTACCTCCCCTGGTATATGGATTCTGTAGGATAGAAGGGACATTAGAGGCCACATTATAACACATAGTTACCTCCCCTGGTATATGGATTCCTTAGGATAGAAGGGACATTATTTTTTTTTAACCGTCAATTGTATTACTGAATAGTTGTTTAATTGTCCAAGTCAGAGCTACTTCCTCCTCCCACGAGGGGATTACATTGCGCACACCATGGCTGAGTAAATAGCAAGCTGTAACCAGGGTACCATTGTATTTGGGTGATGGGATTAAAATATTTTTACTTGTGTTTTGTTAAAATAAATTAAAATGCAACATTGAGTTTTTGTTTATCCTCATTATGTGCCAGTAAATTTCTTTTGAGTCTATAAAGATATATTCAGAGAGATTATACTGTACTTCATAGTATTAATATTCACTGGGTATTTAATAATGTGTATAGTATTAATATTCACTGGGTATTTAATTATGTGTCATCTTTGATGACCACAATTATAGCAAAATTAAATTCCCGACAATTTTTATTAACTATAAATATAAAGAACTGGTATAAAATAAAAAAAAATATCATTTTTTTTTTGTCTGTGAGTCACATAAAATAGCTTAAACAGCATAATTTTAAGGATTAAAAGTCATGAACGTTATTTACCTATAAAAAATTTAATGTCATGTGACATCTGTTTTTTTATTGATTTTCATTATCCATTTGACTAGTGTAAAGTAATTTGACATCTACAAGTGTTTAATTAGAAACAGCTATTTTGTTTACTCACAACTTATTTTCGTTTGTAGTGAGCCAAATAAGTGTAAACTTATAAGTCTCATCCAGCCCGAGATCAAAGGAATGGTTCCCGCCAAACTGAAGGATGCCGCCATTCCAGGCTCCATGATCGAGTTCTTCACTCAGCTGCGCGACACACTTAAGGAAGCTGGAGAGCTACATGGACAGGATTGAAGATGAGGCGGATCCAAGCAGCAGGCGATGGAAATGTGATAACGTATTTATTGACTTGTCCTCACGTTGTGTTTTAATCAAGACAGATGTACACAACTGGTCAAAATCAGTTAACGATAGTACCTATTTATAGGTGGTTTTAGGCCTGAAATTTCTTTAATTCCTGTGCTGGTAAACGTGACGTAATTGGTAAACAGTGTGTCTAACACCCATGGTAGTATTGAGTCTCCTAATGGATGTACATTGTGGGAAAATACAACTTATCCAGTAACTTTCGTCCTGTAAAATTTTTGCCTTTCACAAGTAAAACCCATTTGTACCGTGTAAATTTCGCCGTTTACAGAGGAAAGACTTAGTATATGACGCCTTCTACTTAATAACGTGCCGTATTTGACTACAAATAAACCCCACTGGTAATTGTTCTTTTACAACTTGAACAATTATACACTGTAGGTACATGAAATGTATTATGGCAAAAGATCAAAGCAGGGGAATATTTCAAAATGGCAGACATCGTATAATAAATGTTTGTGAACAGAGGGATGTATACAATTAAGTTCACTCCTAACGTTTGGTCAATCTTTTTAACAGGAGAATGGGGCTTATTTTCGGTCAAATATGGTAAAATCTACTTTCATGTTACCTTTGCCATCATTATGGTCAATGGAGGGCAAAGAGGTAGAAAGTAACGGAAGGGTTTTGAATTCAGCACAGGAAATAAAGAATTGATCTTAATTTGGCCTAAATATATTACTACAGTAAGCAGGTCACTGAAAGTGTCTGTGGGGCCAAAAAAAGCGCTTCTAAATATATGTGTAACATATAGTGACAAGAGGAGATAAGTGCATGCAGACCGCTTGTGTAATTGTTTATGTAAATGTTGGATTACTTCCCTTTGTTGTGTTTTGTAAATGTACCACTGAGATGTGTTGCACTGTTAGATACAAAAGCAAAAGGTTCACAAACATTTGACAAAAATACCATCAGGGGCAAACACAATATGACGGGGGTTTTGGTGGGTTTTCTCTCTACCAAAATCGTATTCAAGCATATAGACTTTTTTACTGTTACATTTGAGAAAGTTATATAGTTATATATTATATATATATATTATAACAGTTATATGTATTATAACATTTATATATATTATAATATATATATATAATATATATAACTGTTAAAATATATATAACTTATAATATATATAAATGTTATAATATATATAACTGTTATAATATATATAAATGTAATAAATTAAGCAGGTTGAAAGTGTTAATAATCATGACACTATAAATTAAAATCTCCTATTTTAAATGCTATAGGCCAAGAATCAAAACATAATCTAGATTTTAAATCTTAATATTGTTAGATATGTAAGTGCAATATATCAAAGTAAAAATATTTCATAAGTATACAATTCTGTATTGTAATGGACCGACTATGAAATTCTTTTTCTGCGACCCCTGACTTTCAAATCTTTCCTGAAGGTTCAATTTTACAGGATCTTTTTATCATGGATTTCAGGTGTAGTGGCCAAAGCACAAAAGGCTACTTTTCATTTGCGATACATTTTGCAGGTTGTATTTTTGGCAGGAAAATTGTTACAGTAGAAATCTTGAAAATTAGATCCCATGAAAACCCCCCACTCTTTACTGTATATCACACCAGCAGACAAACTGACAAGAGATATAGTTACTTTATGTTAAAGTATATAGGCATATACATGTTCATATTCACATTTTACAAGTTTGATTTCCCACTCAGGTGAGAAAGAAACAGACTATATATATTAAGATGGTTATTACCATAGAGGGTTGACAGCATTACAGTACTTCCACTGGAAAGTAGATTTTTGTATATTATAACTTGTTTACATTGTAGCCAAATTTTATATTTTCTAGAAATTGTATACATATAAATATTTATGTTTATTTTCCATTTTTTTTAACAATGATTTACAGAAATGAAGTGACTGAAAGATTATCTGCTACAGAATTAACACTTTCTTCTATACCTGTGATTTACATTAGAGTTGTCTCCCATGACTCATACATTTTTTTTTTACAGAAAAAGTATTAAAGAAAAATGTTTATGATCAGTTTATTTCGAATTACAATTCATGCAAAATAATTGACAAGTTTCTTATTGTGAAGCTGTATTAGATGTGATGTCATGGTAAGGTGACATATATCCTAAAAATTAACAGTATCCTTATACACACATATTTAGAAATTTACTGTGTTATTCAGCAATAAGCCCATGCCTGGTAATAAGCCCACCCAATTCAATTGCAGTTCTGTAGAAATGCCAATAAATGTTCAGTAATTGTCTTGAATAAGCCCACCCCCTGACTTTGAGTCGGAGATGATGTGTTGGCCCCAGGGCTTACTGCATGATAAATATGGTACTAGTAATGCTTTTATGTATTGTGAAAACTGAAGGTTCTGCTTGGTCTAACTGTTTATTATGTATGTGACACAATGCATCAATAGTACTGTAGTTGAACTGTGTATATTTGCTTAGCTTATATTTTGTTAGTAAAAAACATATACAATACTTCTGTCTACAAGGCCTTTACATTTGATAGATCAAAATTTGTATGTCTTATATAATTATTGATAATTACTTCATAAGTTTAAAAAATAGGGTTCAGATTCAGCATCAGAAGTAAAAGAAACATGTTTCTGTATATCTGTGTGTGATATCTTGGGATATATAACATCTATATATATAAATGTCTTTATTTCTGTATATCTGTGTGTGATATATTGAGATATGTAACATCTATATATATAAATGTCTTTATTTCTGTATATCTGTGTGTGATATCTTGGGATATATAACATCAATATATATAAATGTCTTTATTTCTGTATATCTGTGTGTGATATCTTGAGATATATAACATCTACATATATAAATGTATTTAACAACTTTAAGTATTACATGTATACAAAAAAAATGTGATTGAGATTTTGTAAATTGTGCTGTGATGAACAATTTCTAAATACATGTAGGTTTTAAAAGAAAATCAAAATTTTAAATTTCAAATGTGCTCAAACTTTTATACTGCTGGATCCCAATGGAAATTTAGTGATTTTTTTTTTTACTTTACAAGACAAACATAGAATCTGAGATGGATGGATTATTTACTGTTATAAAATCATAATTGTTTGTCCAAAATATCTCCTACGGGAAAATTGTGTAAGCTGAACAATGTATTATCAAATAATTAATTTATCAGATTCAAATTTATTTGTTGCCTAATCGGATATATAGTCAGGAACTGTACAATTTTGCTGGTTTTAAAGGATGTAGGTCTTATAACTCATTCACCCCTGAAGACACATTTAAACTCTTCTAATTCAATGTTGGAATAGTCCATTATGAAATTTCAGGGGTGAATGAGTTAATGTCCAGCTAAGTACAGTATGCTCAGTTAGCTTGGTGACCTTACAAAGGTCCATAGATTGAAGCTGGACCATCTAGTATGGACATCATTTAAAACTAAAACATTTCTACAGTTCCTGACGAAGGCCAGGATTAGTTAGACATTGGAATTGGAGCACTTAATTGCTCGGTGATTAGTTTGATGACATATTGACTCTTTTAATCAATAGATATATTTTACTACTTCTGTTGTAGAGCGTAACCCTTCACTTATCATCCTACAACATTTCACGTGTCAAGTAACTGTTTAAAATTTCAACAGATGTCAATAAAGTGAATACTAAAAACATGTGTTCTTCAGACTCTTTTTTAATAAGTTATCTTTCACGAGGCAGATCCCAGGCAAGAAAAAAAGGTACTTTGGGGTATTTCATGCTTAAAAGCTACCTAAAATGTACCTTTGACTTGAAGTACTTTTGAGGTTTACCTATGAAATGGTGTTTTTGGAGCACTATCAAGGTATACCTCAAATGTGCCCCTGTTTGAGCTGTGATTATTTTAGATATGCCTCTTTTTGACTTTTTTCCTTCCTCAAATGTGCCACGTTCGGACTTTACTTTTTGTGTCGCCTGCGAAAAGCTGGTGACACATAGGTATTGCTATGTCGACGTCGGCGTCCGAACAGACGTTTTCGTGCGATAACTTGAGTTTCCTTGGGCCTATCAAACTCAAACTTCATGCAGTGCTTCGTTACCAAAAGTGCTTGCTTGGGATTGCTTTTCAGGTCCGAAGGTCAAGGTCACTGTTACTATAAATAGAAAATCTGTTTTTCGTGCGATAACTTGAGTTTCCTTTGGCCGATCAAACTCAAATTTCATGCAGTGCTTCCTTACCAAAAGTGCTTGCTTGGGATTGCTTTTCAGGTCCGAAGGTCAAAGGTCAAGGTCACTGTTACTATAAATAAAAAATCTGTTTTCGTGCGATAACTTGAGTTTCCTTTGGCCGATCAAACTCAAACTTCATGTAGTGCTTCCTTACCAAAAGTGCTTGCGTGGGATTGCTTTTCAGGTCCGAAGGTCAAAGGTCAAGGTTACTGTTACTATAAATAGAAAATCTGTTTTCGTGCAATAACTTGAGTTTCCTTTGGCCGATCAAACTCAAACTTCATGCAGTGCTTCCTTACAAAAGTGATTACTTGGGATTGCTTTCCAGGTCCAAAGGCCAAAGGTCAAGGTCCCTGTTACTATAAATAGAAACTTCACTAAAACTGTATACTGGATGGCTTCGATCTACCACTTGACTCACCGTGTATACCTCTGAAATGCCGTCTTACTCCAAATGTTATTAACAACACTAGCTATTTAACATCATAATCCACAAGTTTATTAACTTATTTATGGGAAACCATCCGACAAATCATACAAATTAAACTTGGAATTGAGACAATGAGTATCCATAGCAAGTTCCTTAAAACTCAGAGTATTCTTCCCAGAATAACAGATAATATAACAAAATGATGCCATCCAAAAACATAATCTATGATTATTGCTTACTTTTAACAGTATTTCTTGAAATGAAAAGAGTATCTATTTCTTCGTAATCTCCCAGCTTCCTGCGCAGGCGACACATTCACTTCCGTGGAATTCTTGTTTAGATATTGCAAAATTGCCTCTTTCAAACATGTCCAGGTCATTCTCGATTCTCCAGGGGTTACGCTCACTTACACTCTTCAATCCTGGAAAATTTAAGGCACAGGAATAGCTATTTGATAAGTCTCATTGAAAATAATCCTGAACAATCACTAGACCTGTCCTTGGAAGATTCCTGAGGAGCGACACCCACCTTCCAAGCTAGTCAATTTTACTGTTACGCAGTGTACATACATCAAAGCATCAAATTAAACTAGCTTCCCGTCTCATCCACAAGGTGGCGCACACTGCCGAGCCTTTGATTTTGTCACCACGTATTCCAGGAGTGCAGAGAATGTCCATGAGCGTAGCCCCTGGAGTATCCAGGATGAATCCAGGTAAAACATGTGCAAAACATTGTAAAAGTTTTTGCAGTTCTCTGTGTCTTTTCACAAATTTGCGTAAGTGGTCAATTTCACAGGTTCTGTTTTCGCAGTTAAAGAGGCCATGGCACAATGTGCTATGGTAAGAATAGATTAATTTGCTATCCCTTTTGCAGGCTATAGCTATCTAAATAAATTTTCATTTACCCACTTTGATGGTGAGTGATTCATGCCAATTGGGCCTCATCTAAATAACTTCTTTTGAATATCCTATGGGCCTTTGTTACTGAAATATTGGTGTAAGGTATATTATGCCTGCTCTCTTTAACTCATGCAGTGAAAGGGAGGCAACTCTTGTTTCTTTGAGAGTTTTGAACCATTAGCCTTTATGAGGTTAGGCTGCCCTTTGTGTTTTTTCCATCAAATTTTATTCATTTCTGATGTGTTAAGGAGGCACGGTAGTCTAGTGGTAGGACACCGGGCTTGTGACTGAAGGGTTGCGGGTTCGAGTCGAGGCATGGCACTGTGTTGTACATGTATTTTTGAGCTTTACTTCGCCTGTTCCAGTCTGTCAATGAGTACGTGGTTGGGCCTTGCTAGAATTGTTGAATGCTATCTGCGAGCGCCGAAATGGCAGCACTGGCTGTATGCTCCCCAGGGAGTTGAGAAAGATATTTGCTGGTTGAAAAGCCCTATAACCATGGATAATAATTTTTTGAACCGCTTTGAGATGACCTACAAACTAGGTTGTGATAAAGTGGTATATAAGAACCTCAAATTAAATTATTATTATTATTATTATTTGTGTTGACGTATTGATCAGAGTCGCCTTTGCAATAAACATTTATTACTGGTGAAATAATAGTTTAAGTTGTATGATAAGATAGCTATTACTTGGTTCTAGGCAGTAGATTGGGGATTGATCCCTTGAACTTCTTGAAAATTGGTAAAGGTCATTCAGTTTAACAAGCTGGATAGCCTTCATAGTAAAATACTACTTGACAAAAATTAAATATCATGACCTTCTGCCTCTTGGTTATTCAAAGGAATTTGTTTAGTAGTTGTTTAGTAGTTTTAATTTTTTGCCCCTGTAACCTTGACTGTAATTTGGGATAATTCTTTTGAACATGCTTACTGGTCAAAACATATTATCACCCAAGGCTTCTCCGAAGAATCAAGAAGTTGTTCCAAGGGTTTTCACATAGTTGACCCCTATGACCTTGACAGCAAGTTAATGGGGGTAGCAAACAAACTGAACAAGACAGAAATCAAGCACTGGTTATGGCATAATTTCCTTTAAGGATTCCTGACCCACTGCAGGCAAAATACTAGAGAGCTCCACTGTACAGTTAGCTCCCCTTAATTTCATATTTGACATAACTGTAGCGTATGACTGAGCAAAAACACTCCAGTTTTCAAGGTACCTCCGCTGGTTAGAGTGACAGTATTTATAAACGATCAGAGGCCCAGGGTTCTTATCCTACTCTGTTCCCGTGCACTTTTTACACTCGGAACACTGTTGTTGAATTTTATTTTTCTATCTTAACAATTTTTTCAGAAAAGTTCAGCAAGGTTTTGTTTTCCTTTGAAAAATGATTCATCAATGCAATGGTCATGTCCAAATGAAAAGGTTTCCAATGCATAGTTACAGTTTTTGGCAGTTGGACACGTACAAGGAGGCTTAATTCATTCACCCCTGAAATTTCATAATAAACTATTCCAACCCTTGAATTGGAAGAATTCAAATGTGTCTTCAGGGGTGAATGAGTTAATGGTAATCTATTGTTGGTGGGAACCATAAAATATGAACAGACACATAATTACCCCAAAAAACAGTTACTACAACTTTTATTAATTTCACACTGTAAATATATTCAGTGAAAAGTCATAAAAATACATAATTTGTAATTATATTAACACATTGTGTCTTTGTAGTGCTGCAAAACTTTGAAATAAATAAATATTCTATACAATGTACCTAATATCAGTATTTCATAACAAATCAACGATAAAACATTTTGAACTTTAAAATTATTGAAACACTAGTTTGTATTATTTTTTAAATGAGTTATTAGACATTTTCGATTTTCAGGTAGACAGATCTAGACCATTCATGAAACTGTTCACATGCTCAAGCATGGATTCAGTGCTCAAGAACTTTCTTGTAACTGGTTAAAATCATGTGACACGATAAAATATTATACAATGTATGTAAACATTTAACACGGTGTCCGGCTTGAAGTCCCTCCAATTTTTTTCCAAATCATAAACCAAATTTAAATTAATTAATATAAAATTTTATTTGTTTATCATTGGCAAAAGATATTGGGCTGGAGCACAGACTCTCAGTTTGAGCATGAGAATGGTTTCATGATACAGACCCAGGTATATGGACTTGGAGATGATACATTTGGGGCTTGTCTCAAACACATTTTTATTATATATATGCAAATAAACAATGTTCTTTGTATTTCATAAACATATGTACTGTAACATTTACTAATACATATGTACACTGTTATATATATATATGTGCGATCCCTTGAAGAAATATTGTCAATTTCGAGACGACCCCCAAGTTATCACAAGCATACCTGTGAACATCTACGTAATCCATCCACCTTAAAAACCGAAAATGTCCATTACGAGACTTTACCTGGAGAGTTTGGTGCTGTGATGTACATGTATGATACACTTACTAATAAATACGTACTATTATTGGATTCTGTACATATAGATATATATATATGTATATGGATACACAATTTTACCCTAGACTTAACTCATTATAGTTTCGTCAGTTCATGACCACAGTGGTATCGATATGACAGAGCTTTCCGCTGAACCTTATTGTTTAACAATTTCAGAAGTAAAATCGCATTTCCCCTGAAATCTGAAGGGTCAAAACTTTTGTCTTTTATTCATACCCAAAAGTGAAAGTTGATTTCGGGAAGTCAAAAACATACCCTCCAAGGTCTACTGAAAGCCTTGCACATGTAGTGAACAGCAGAAATTGGTAGCTTATGTGTTAACTCATTCACCCCTAAACAAATTTAATGAACTATTCCCACCTTTGAATTGGAAAAGTTCAGATGTGTCTTGAGGGGTGAATAAGTTAACATGTTGGGGAAGAAGCCACATGACTTGTTACCGTAATCTATGGAAGCACGGCAGTACATGTGTTAACTTATCTCCAATTCTATATTTGTAGGTTAAAGAATCTACACAAAGTATGTCAAAAACAATATTAATATAATGTCCCTAGAAAACTTGCTTTCAAATTGCAGTATATTTTAAGCAATGTTTGGCACAAATAAAATAGGGTGCCGAAATGAATGAAACTGTACACAAAATTAGCACATCTATTTGTGCCAAGATGTCTTAGAAAGGTACAGGAAGTTAAACATTTATTTTCAAGGGATGAAACGATGGTTAATAGCCCGTTGGAGCCCCTAACAGTTACAGCAATTACAGTAAACTGTATACCGGGAAATTTTCGCAGCAGCCTAACTTTCGCCATGTTTGCCCTCACAATGAGTGCGGCAAATTTATCAACCATCAGCTAACATTAGTGAACAAAACAATAATCAAAGGTAATTAAAATATGAAGGGCGAAATTAACATTGGACGAATAAAGATTAATCAACATTGGTAAAAGTTTGACTGGGGAAAAGTGTATCTGTATACAGTATGGATGGCAGTGCTTTCCGTCATTTGTACAATTCTAAAAAGTAATGTGGCTTCCCCCTCTTTGTTAAGTATGGCAGGAATTATAATGTATATAAATTTCCAAGTCATCACAGACTGTTCGTTTATGCGGAACAACTGGCTAATGTTTATGCAGGCCTTGCAAGGCTTTGTCAAGGCTCGCCTGAAAGCAGCGTTAGATTACTAGGTCCGGCCTTATTTAATAAACGAACAACTGTGGTCCGACCGGTTTGACCGTTAAAACGAAAACGGCCCTAGTAACACTACCGTAGGGAACACTGGTGTAAAAGGATCAACAATCGTGAACAGTGAACGGAGGGAGTTACCTTGCTACGTACATGTATGTACAAACAGCTGAGCCAATGATGTCAAGCAATGACACTGTAATATAACATAAGCTCATATAGTAATCAAAAAATGCTCTGTATATTGTATAACGGTAAGCACCCTAGAGCTAGTTGTAACAAACTTCATTCAAATCTGGAAACAAGAGGCCCATTGGGCCTGTATCTCTCACCTGGTTTTACCAATAATCTCACACTAATAACCTTACACAGTCGACCAAGGTTGAATACATTTCAATGGGTTAAGTTAAGCTACAGGCCAATATCATACTTTGGGCATTTCGGTTATCAAGAAGAAACTGTTTTAAAGAATATTTTTAAACATTTGACACCTGAAAGTGAGTCAAGGTTATTTAACTTTGGAAGCTCTCCATCCCAGTTTCCTATTAGCCAGATATCATTACCCTGGGCATTGAGCTCGAGGGTATCGAGAAGTAGGTTTAAAAACAATAATAAAAATATTTGACCCCTATGACCTAGAAAGGGGGTCAAATTTATTCATTTGAATAGGCTTGGTAGTCCTTCATCCATCCATTCTACTTGTCAAATATCATCACCCTAGGCCTATTGAGAAATCGTTTAAAGTAAGATGTTCATTCAGGACGGACGGACGGACAGATGCCCCACCACGGCACAGCTAGCTTAGGCCTTCAGGCCAGGTGAGCTAAACATTGAGTAGTTGATCCAGAGATCATACTGTAAAACAACTGTTGATAAATATGTATTTGTATGAAGTTTAAACAAAATCCCTGTCTGCTTATAAATATCTCTAAAAACAAGTCATCCCCAGCATCCGAGACATGATTGTAAAGAATCTAACATCTTGAGTCCCTGTCCATTTACAGATCCCATAGTTCATAGCACTAATCCTAACATTAGGCTAAAGGCCAAATATCCTGATTCAAGACCTCCTGATTTTTCAGAAGATGACATTTAAAATTTTAAACCCCTGTGACCTTGAAAGTGTTTGAAGGGTCATTCATCTGAACAAACTTGATAGTGCTTCACCTCGGGATGCTTCTGGCCAAATACAATTAACTTAGGCTTTTTGTTTATACGAGAAGTCAGTAAAGGTTTTAAGAGTTTGACCTCTGTGACCTGGGTCAAGATCTTCATCCCAGTACACTCCTGGCCTAAATCAATATTCCTTACCTCATTGTTTAACACATTTGACCTTGAAAGAGGGTAAAGATTATTCCTTTTGACAGCCATAATAGAACCTCATTCCAATGTACTATTGGCTGACTATTATCATCATATGCCACTTGGTTAATGAGAAGCTGTTTAAAAGTTTTAACATTTGGCCCCATGTGTCCTTGAAAGTGGGTCAAGGCCATTCTGAATTGAACAAACTTAATAGTCCTTTATCCAACAATGCCACTGGTCAAATACCGTGACCTTATAGGTCTCTTGGCTATTCAGAAGAAGCTTTAAAAATGTTAAAACAAATTTGATTAGTGTGATATTGAAAGAGTGTCAAGGTCATTCATCCCTGCATGCTACTGGCCAACAAGGATCCCCGCTTGATTTACCAGAAGCAGTATAAATATTTCAACAAATTTTACCCCCAGACCTTGAACGTGAATAAAGGTAATTTGAACAAGCTAAATAGGTTGTCATACTACTATCTTATTTGCCAAAATTTCATCATCTTCAGAAGAAGTTGTGAAGAAGTTGTATAGAAGTTTTAACAAATTTGGCTATATGGCCTTGAAATTGTTTCAAGGTCATTCATCTTAACAAACTGGGTAGCTCTTCATCACAGCATGCTTCTGGCCAAATATAATGGCCGGAATCTTGATTATTCAGAAGTTGTTTAATTTGGCATTTGTGACCTTGAATTTTGCACTAGATAATCATTTAAACAGACTGAATAGCCCTTCATCTCAGCAAGTTATTGGCCAACTATGATAACCCTGGGGCCTCTTGGTTCATCAGAAGAAGTCATTAAAGTTGATGCCAGGCGTACAAGGGATGCCACACCATTCAGCTATAAACAAAACAGCTGATACATTGAAATAGTGCTTGTTATCAAAAATCAATCATGCTGACAACTTCAATATTTGATTTGTTTATTATCCACAGAAATATTGTCATTTTAAATATTTAGAACAACTTCTTATTAAAGGGGCCAGTAGGGCACAGTTCTCTGTCAGAAAAAGTATAGAGACTTACTGGAATACAGTGGCTAATGTGTGCAGTTTCGTTAGTTTGTCTTTTTGCCTCGAAAAGATTGGAATTAACAAATCTAAATTCTCGTTCTTTTATCTTTTCGCCCTAAAAACACAGAACAACTTCAGAATTAAAAGTTACTAAATGTTTGTTTGAAATAGCACAGTTCAGCCACATCGTACTTGAACCCGCACTTATTATATTACTGTTATAGAGTAGCAGATATTGTCATAGGGGTATTTTTACATCTGGACTGTTCTATAATATTGATATAAAAACTCCCTGTCAATACTGACAAAACTGCTGCTACTACTTTGAACAGGAAGTTTGACCTGAAGTAACTGTGTTTTATGTAAACTTTACCTAACAACAATGAGCTAACGGACCAATAACATTAAAATCTACACACACAGGGGTATGAGTAATAAATATTTCAATATAAGTATATATATAACTATATAACTCTATAATATATAAATATGTTCAAACACTTTTTTTTAATAATATTAAGAAGGGATAACGTCTATTCTGGCCATTCATAATAACTATGATAAATTTTAACAATTTACAACATAACGATGGACAAAAAACAGTGATAAATGTAAACATGTTTTTGATGTGAACAGAAAATAAAGACAGAAATAGCACGATAATGTCAGGTGTCTCAACAGAACAGGTTAATTTGAATCAATCAAGCACCATTATAATTATGGGTCCGACAGACACTTACACAATTTAAATAAAGTTTTGATGTAAAAATAGACAAAATGAACACTATAAGCATACCTTAATTTTCAATGGACCATTTTCAAGATTTGTAACAAAGAATTGCAAAGAAAATTCTCCTTAACTCATGCACCCCTGAAGACACATTTGAACTCTTCCAATTCAAAGGTTGGAATAGTCCATTATGACATTTCAGGGGTGACCATTTTCAAGATTTGTAACAAAGCATCTGACCCGAGAAACTTTTCTCCTTAACAGATATTTATGTAGAATCATATTAAATCCTTTTTCAAGCAACCTTGATGAATGTACAATGAAAACAAATCAAGTTGTACTCAAAGTCTAGTCACCTTCACCTGAGTTTTCTAAATGGTCCATTTACCACTTTTATTTAAGCGATGGATAGGAAACCCACTTTCTTGATGCCGTGAAGAAACAAACAGCTGCACATTTCTCACTTTTTGGAGTTTTATCATGAACCATGAACTGATTGAAGGTTCTTGCTACCTACCACATTTTACATATATATTTGTGTTAACTCACTTGTTCGTCAGGCAGATGCGCCAATAACTTAGATATAACACTAAAAAATGTGATTTAAATGGAAAGTTATTTTTTTAGGGCAAATTACTGTTATAAAGAATGATACTTCACATGTTTCCTAACAATACCTTTGTAAAAATTATAATTACAAAAAAAAAGTTCCATTTCTGAGCTTTTGTTATTGAAAATAAGGTAACGGAAAGGAACTTTCTTTTGACAAATTAAGGTAACGTGCCTTTTCAGGGTATACATATGTACATCTTTCACTTTGACTTACATTTTTAGATCCTTAGCATGACCACTAGAATTTCTGCTTTTCTTATATTCTAAATACATTTACCCTAATTTTATACAACTGTAATTCTTTAAAAAAAAAAAAAACAGTAAAAATAAGAATACCACACCGAAGCATAACAATTTAGTCCCCTGTCCCACGGCAAACTGACATATACTTAAAATGTTCTAATACACTATTGTTTTTAACTTTAACTCATTCCACCTTGATCATGAAGACACATGAAATGAAATTTCAGGGGTGAATGAGTTAATACACTATGGAAATGTAAGTAGAAGAAACTAGATTAATTTATACTATATTTTGTACCGAGTTGTTTCTGCTGTATCTTGGTGAAACTCCGTAAGATATGTGTTACACACTGGCCATGATCAGGTATAAAACATAAGGCAAAGTACTGTACGAGTAAATATCAACAAGTTTTAAAACAGGTTACATTGAACGAAGAATCGACACAGGCCATGACTGTCATACTACAATACTGGGTGCAACAGCACTGATGGAATTTCACTGTTTGACAAATTTCTATAAATACTTATCAAATGGTGACCATGACAACCTCAAATATCAACTTAATTATCGAAGGTATTCCCAATCTATCGTTACCTCTCTACTAATTTAGATCAAACTGCTCAGAAATGAGGTAACTAGACTGATTACACTGAAATGGTTGATGTATTTCTATAAATAGCAATGATGACCTTGGCCATGACCTTGTTACCCTGAGACACAAAATGATCTGAGAAATATACAGACTTGACCTTTGTATAAAAGTTGATGAAAATGAGCAGAAACAAAGTGGCTAGAATGATGAAACTAAATTAAGTGATGATTTTGAGAAATATCAACACTGACCTTAGCCTTGACCTTAGACTCTAAAGTACATCCTAATATGAGGTATTCCAAAACTGGTACAAAGTTTGATCAAATCTGTTTAAGAAATGAAGTTTCTATCTTACATAAATCATTTCTAGAAATAGTAACTGTGATCTTGGCTTTTTGACCATGAAATAAACTCATTTAAGATTTTTCAGTTGTTATACATTTTATATATAAAAATGTGACAATTATCTGTTATAAAATGAAGTTGCTAGAGTGATTAAATTTAAACTTTAATTATATATTTAACTACATTATGAAACAAGTGTTCCAAGCATATAATACTCATGCTTGTTGGTCTGGATGGAAACTTACACTGTAGGGTCCTAATGTGGGAGGAGACCAGAGTACCTGAAGAAAACCCATGCTGTTGGGTAGGTGACCCAAACAGATTATCAAATGCGACCCATTCCCGACCACTAAGAGTAATGATAGTCTGAATCAGGACAGAAGGGGTCGGACATGGGCAATAAACACTTCATCCCCACCCCTTACTCAAACAACACTGAGGCGTGAACATTTGATGGAAAATGAATATTTGATGTAAAATTACTAGAAAAGCCAAAAAAAAATGTTTAATTGAAATATAGGATTGATTGCACCTGTTACAGCTGTCTCTGTAGTCATGGTAAAAAATGTCTTTCAAACAAGACTGACACGAAAGAAAAAACATTCATTACAAATATACAGGTACATGTAAATTTGAATAAACAACCAATATCCATCTATTTCGTATAATAAATTTCGTTTTCATTCCAGATCTAACAAACACGCTTTCCAGCATCCTTTCAACAAAAACAGGTCATAAAAAATGGGGACGGGTAAAATTGTAATCAACAGTTGCACCTTTTTCAAAACAATGAACACATTTTCGTTTAAAGAATAATTACTCTATGGAATTGGATAAAGGTCTTTGAAAATTGTGTTTACATTTTAAATGTATCAAAAACATATATATGAGAGCTTGCGATGCCAGTTGATGCAGTTTATAACTCAGATTGGAGCTTATATGTTACATGTAAGTGATGCCATATGGTTCTGGTTACGATTTTTACCGCATTCTAACTCGTCAATCTTTAGTATGGCTTAAGTATTAGAGCAGCAAAATATCTACCTGAAATTTTAACCTGAACTGACATGAAGAAATTTTCTCTGTTTATACAGATCTCAGGTTCAGTGAAAATGGAAACTCTTTGTTAAAAATATTATCACAGAAATTTGAAACTTTAAATTTGTACATTCATCAACGACAACCTAATGAAACTAATGGCGTGTGAGCTCCATCATGGCCGCGCCCGTAAAAGGGCATATCTAGGTGTATAAGTGAGCTCCCTAACGGACACAATTACGAGGGCGTGTCTCAAGTGTTTTTATGAGCTTGATAACGACCACTTAAGCACAGGAGGGTGTGTCTAGGAGTTTTCGCCCCCTGGAGACGCGTCCTGTTCTAGCTGGCCCTCGCGGTTGCTGAGCGTATCGTCTTCCTGTTGCCAGTGCCTGTAGTTGTTCTGTAGGTGGGTGATGAGCTCAGGGACATTGCAGTAGTCTGTAACACAGATTAAACATTTATAGAAAATAACACTACTTCAGGAATTGGTTTGGATGTACATAAGACATTCTATGAACAGGTCATTTAAGGACTAGCCAGGTTTTGGTGGTGAAGGTTTGAACCAGAGTGCCTAGAGAAAAACCACTGGCTAATATTGTGACCAGTACCTGGCGACTGCCCAACGTAGGCTTAAAACCCACAACCTAGTGGTGGAGGGCTTGTGGTCACAGATGTTAGACAGGACCCTAATCAGAAATAAACTTTATTTTCTTTTCTTTTCTGCTATTTTAGGAAAATGTTCGTTTCTGAGCATATGTATATATATGAGGTCAATGAAGCTTTTGCCATCGTTTTAATACAAGAACTTCCTAGACTTTATGGTTCTTGAGAAGAAATTGTTGAAGGAGATACAAGAAACATTTCCTATAATCCTGGTAATGCTTTCCCAAAAACAATTCCAACACATACATAATCATTTTACAGTAAATATATATATCTGACTGTAATTTGTGTAAATTGTAATTTTGTGTTACTCTCAGTTTTTAGAATTCTTGTAGTACGTACAATCCCATGCGTCGAACATGTCGTTGATGAAAACATCGATAAAGCTAATCTGGGATTTGGGTATACTGCAAGTCTTTCTGTCAAACACCGGCATCACCACTGGTAATCCCCGAGTCTTCTCCTCCTCCGTCTGTAACATACCAACACCAACATGTACACATAGTAGATGACGCACAGTTTTACTCCAACCTCTCTGATGTAAGTTCAGGGCCCGTATTCATGAAACCGTTTTTCTGCTCAATCATAGATTCTGTGCTCAAACTTTTTTGGAACTTGCTTAGATCATGTCAAACGATCAAAAAGTCAAACGTTAACATTGAAAACAGTTTTTGGCTTTAAGTCTCTTCAAAATATTTCCAAATCATTGACATAATTAGATTTTATTATTCATTTAAAGCCGAAACGAGAAATTAGGCTTGAGCACAAAATCCATGCTTCAGCATGAGAACGCTTTCATGAATACGGGACCTGATGTTAGCTGTAACATCACAATGCCAACTGACATTTCATACATTTTATCAGGTTTAATGATTAAAAACATGTAGAATCTTATATAACATTTAAGGACTTATATTTAGGTGAATGTGTGGTTATATGGACCTGAGAAAGTGATATTGACCGCGACAAGGTCGAGAAATGTACAACCTTCTCCAACACTTTTATACAAAACTACCCTCCTTCTAAAAACCTTGATAACTAAATATCAGATGAGGTCATTGTTTTCTAACTCCTGATTGGTTTTGTCATAACCACATGTAGGTTGTTGATCCTATGTGATTGACTCCGTGTTACTATTTTAGAAACAGCGGGCAATATTCCCTTTGTGACGTTCCTTCAATTACACACGCAATGAAGGGTATCTGACAAACGCAGTACATTTCTCTGACCGATTTTCTTAATATAAAAATTAAGGAGTTTTATTACACCGTATATGCTGTTATATAGGGATTGAACGGCATTTTTAAATTTTCATAACGGCATGAAAATTTTAATCAAAGTCCTGAAAGGACTGAGAGTCTCGATCAACACCTGTTAATTGTCAGTGTCAACACTTGATCAACGCCTGTTAATTGTCAGTGTCAACACTTGATAAACGCCTGTTACTTGTCAGTGTCAACACTTGATCAACGCCTGTTAATTGTCAGTGTCAACACTTGATCAACGCCTGTTAATTGTCAGTGTCAACACTTGATCAACACCTGTTAATTGTCAGTGTCAACACTTGATCAACACCTGTTAATTGTCAGTGTCAACACTTGATCAACACCTGTTAGAACTCCTGATTTCAAGCAAATCATTGTCAACACTTCTACAGTAGGCTACTGCTGAAACACCTGATAAATGTCTGTGTCAACACCTGTTTAAAACTACTGATTTAAGCAAATTATTATCTGAATAAAAAACAACAATTCTGAAAATCATAAAATTAGCTCATAACTGTGCCTGCCTTTGTCGCCATAATGATGCTCAGTCAACGGCACGGGGAAAACAGCTCGGGGAAAATGTGCACATCCCGGCGATGGTTGATAATTATAAGAGCTGGGCGTTAGTTTCGGAAATTTATGGCGCCTGTTAAATATGTTATCTATCATACGGGAATAATAACGCTTCTTTCTGCAAGCTATAGAGGCCCAACCATATTCTGTTCTAAGTCAAGGCGATATCGAAAAAGAAAGTAAAGGAATTCTATTCTTAGCTACAAGTGGACTGTCTGTGCGTATCATTACGCGATGCGACTATGTCTTAATAAAGTGTGATTGCATTACTTTTTTTATCACGATGTGCATCAAATAAACAAGTTAAGGTAAAGCGAACCAAAAACTATCGATTTGATGTGTACGTCAAGTAGAAACACACAATATTTGTGGTAGCAAGGATCTAGGTTTTCAGCTGTCTCATAAAACAAAAAGTAGTGATGGCTCCCCGAAAAATCATTATTTTATTAAAAATCGGAAACACATTTTCCATCCAGAAAACAGGTTCTAATGGAAAGTATGAAAAATGTCCAACAGATTTATTACCTGTGTTGTTGTCTATTTATGGATTAAAGTTAAACATTTCAGCAACGTAATGCTGAAAAGGTAGTTCCCCCCTCCCTCCTCCATTTTGAGAATTATCCAACACTAAAAGAGTCTCGAAACCTCGACTCTAAAAAACACCGTTCAATCCATATATCTAAATTTTTACTATAGAACAAGTTTATTTATTTATATATTTACTGCGTTTGTTTATGTATCGTCCTTTAAACGACATTGACGAAACAGCCCTATTTTAATCAAATTGGTGCCAATAATTAACCGTAGTCATTTGAGTGTTTGAAGTAGGGGCATTCTCCATATTAACTGAAGCGAAGCGACAAGACTCTCATTGAACAAGGTTAATCCATGACATCATAAGTAAACCACATGTTACGTCACAAGAGTTTTTGCTTTCATACTCAAATGAAATGCATTTCTGCTGGTAATGTTCATAAAGTGGTTTGCAGCGCAAATGTAAATATATGGACCTGAAAAATTCATATTGACCTTAACTTTGTCTTGGTCAATATCACTTCCTCTGGTCCATATAACCACAACTCAAGTTAATAATTGATAAATATGTATATAAATATATATGAAACAGCCAAGATAAGAATAGATGAGGCAATGTTAATTAATCATCTTCAAGTCTTAACATCTTACTTTTTTTCTTCTCCATTTTAAACATTGAAATAGAAGAATTTTGGAAGGAAAGTACTTTTTATACAGAGTGGTAGGGTATGAAAGGTATGCATAATGAAATGTATTTTTTTTCCTTTAATGTTCCTGAATAAAATATATCGCTACTTTACTATTACTCTGGGAAGTTAAATCATTTCTTTGATTTGTTGAAATCTGAAGCATTTTTTGCTATAATAGCCTGCAGGCTCTTTATTTTATGTAATAACTGGTGAAAGGGGTTGCTTCCCTTTGCCCGTTAACTTTTTAAAAGCATTGCGTTACATTAAAACATGTTAGGAGAAAGGACCCATGTTGACATGAATTTCACACAAAATTCCCATTTTTCGATATGAAGGAACAAACTTCATCGCCTTAGATTTTTTTCTCTTTTTCAATAGTTAGAACAGTGAGTTCAAGAACTTATATGAGGGGAAAGAATCCAGTCAAAAAATCTTCCAAAAAGATCAAAAAGTGTATCCTCGTCTCACATAAGAGATCTTTGCCTGAAACGTTAACTGTGGCACTAGTTGTGAATTGTGGTCACAAGGTTTGTAAGCAGTCAGGCAGACAGACAGACGGACTAAGAATACAGACCTGATTGAAGTACTCCTCTGCGATGCGCTTGCCCCACTCCACACAGAGATCAAGAGGTCGACAAGGGTTGGCTACATCAGCACACTTGATGAGCATGCGTTTAATGAGCAGACGGTTCTCTGGGGTGGACAGCTGATGGAGGACCATCGTACTGTCTGGAGAACCATTGCCACTCTGAAAATAAGTACAAGTAGAATTGTAAACCGCAGGCACGCTAAATATCCCCTGTCCCCTCTGAAGAAAAAACATAACAATGGTTTTCATTTAAGGATAGTTGACAAAATTTATGAATATAAAAAAATAAATGACAAGCAACTACTACGGTATTGATCATGCATACAAAGTTTTGTAAATATCGGTCAACAAGAGACTAATATAGTAGCAGTACTTTGGAAAAAAATTATGATGGAAAAAGAAATCAGAAAGGGGCTTAACTCTTATAAAAAAACAGTGGAAGTCCAAAATAAATACAAGCACACTACTGCCTAAGGTGACAATTATATGAAGCCAGTTGATAACGATTGGTTGAGAAGTCAATCGGTGTTGTTCCAAACTTCTGACTACAGATTTATAATAATAGTGTATATCTCGAGTTGTTCATTAATCCAGGTGATACCATCATAATCTTAGCTTAAGGCTGAGACATACATATGTCAAGGTCCTTTATTACAACTATATCAAACTGAAAATTCAAGCCTCATGCTTTTCAACCAAGGAGCTAGCTATCACTGATGAAAGTCTTTGTGACCTTTGACACAAGGTATTTTTATTCTTTGTGACCTTTGAAACAAGGTATCTTTAATCTTTGTGACCTTTGACACAAGGTATCTTTAATCTTTGTGACCTTTGACACGAGGTTTCTTTGATATCTGTGACCTTTGGCATTAGGTATCCCTGATCGTTGTGACCTCTGACCGACCACTGATAAGGTGTCCATGTGACATGTGATCTAGCAAAGTTGAAAAGTCATCATGCTCATGACCTATGACCTACCAATATTAAGTTATCCACTTCTTTAACCTACCATTAATGAGGTGTCCACTTGACCTTATGACCTAGCTACAACTGACAAGGTATCCACCTGACCTTTGACCTACAAATAATTAGTTATCCACTTGACCTATGACCAATAAATGATGAGGTATCCACTTGACCTATGACCTATCAATAATGAGTCAGCCTCTTGACCCATGACCTACCGTTGATGAGGTATCCACTTGACCTATGACCTACCATTGATGAGGTATCCACTTGACATATGACTTACCATTGATGAGGTATCCACTTGACCTATGACCTACCATTGATGAGGTGTCCTCGTACTTGAGCGTTGCTTTGTTGACACTGTTGACAAATTTGTTGAGATGTTCGAAGTGATGTCGCATCTCTGTGGCTAGGACCATGTCGATGATGTTCTGTCTTGTTGAGCGGTACTCGTCACTACGGTAACAACGTCACAATGTAAATTAACGTATCTCAAATTTTCACTAAGAGGTATATACAATAGATCACATTTTCTGGCTAATTCATTATTTGTTGATTTAGTTCACATATTCATTTAACAATATATCGTTCCTTTATATCATTAATTACAAGAGGCGAATAAGGCCTGTATCACTCATCTGGTTTTTGTTGGTTTTGTTACCTGAACTTGAACTGAAGTTTCAGAAAACAAGAGATTATGGTGGCCTTCTTAGATTTTTATTGACCTAATGATTTGGAACAATACAAGTTTCTCCCTTTGATCTAGACATTAAGAGTTGTCTTACAGATTAATGCCCTAATGCCAGTTTTGAGTACTGCCCCTCTACCCCAGGGGAGCCACGCCCTTTATTTTTACAATGCATATTTCCTTCGGCCCATGGTGCTCCATTAAGCCAAACTAATAATAACCGTAATTTTACAAATAAACTTACTTGTCCAAGCCTTTGAAAATGTTGGCCGAATCATTTTTCCACGAGAGCTGGAAGGCCAAAGCAGAGTGATGACTTTCCAGTACTGCCCTGTAACAGCCAAATTCAAACATGAGTAAAGGTTTAGTTCCTGTGTAGTGATACTTGATAGAAAAAAAAATAGTTCCTATTAGATATGACAAGAGCAACTGTACTAAAATCATCAAACTGAAAACACATTAAAATATTGAACAGAAACACATACTGTCTGGCAACTAATTATAAAGCTGTCCAAAATACTTAAATGTTGCATATTTTATAGATCATAGGCTGTTTAATACATGTGTAATAAGAGATTAGAACCCTGGACCCTCCGAACTCTAGACAGATGCTTTACCAATTGAGCCACCTGGACGACGGGGATCGATTCAATCCTGTTCCGCTACATTTCTAACAAGATCACCAATTTTATAATGGGAGAAAAAGCACAGCCAGACACAAATTCAAATGGGGCATCCTCTGAACTCTAGACAGACGCTCTACCAATTGCAATTGAGCCAGACTCCTGGTAGCCAGCAATTGAGTTCCAGTCCAGTCCCACATTACAAGTATCAATACTGGTCAGTGTGGCCAGATTGTGATATTGGTTCCCCTAGTCAGAGAATAGTCAGACCTGATACTCTATTATACATACTGGTCATTGTAGAGGATGGTCAGACCTGATACTCTATTATACATACTGGTCATTGTAGAGAATAGTCAGACCTGATACTCTATTATATATAATGGTCATTGTAGAGAATAGTCAGACCTGATACTCTATTATACATACTGGTCATTGTAGAGAATAGTCAGACCGGATACTCTGTTATACATACTGGTCATTGTAGAGGATAGTCAGACCAGATACTCTGTTACACATACTGGTCATTGTAGAGAATATAGTCAGACCGGATACTCTGTTATACATACTGGTCATTGTAGAGAATGGTCAGACCTGATACTCTGTTATACATACTGGTCATTGTAGAGAATAGTCAGACCTGATACTCTGTTATACATACTGGTCATTGTAGAGAATAGTCAGACCTGATACTCTGTTATACATACTGGTCATTGTAGAGAATAGTCAGACCTGATACTCTGTTATACATACTGGTCATTGTAGAGAATAGTCAGACCTGATACTCTGTTATACATACTGGTCATTGTAGAGAATAGTCAGACCTGATACTCTGTTATACATACTGGTCATTGTAGAGAATAGTCAGACCTGATACTCTGTTATACATACTGGTCATTGTAGAGAATAGTCAGACCTGATACTCTGTTATACATACTGGTCATTGTAGAGAATAGTCAGACCTGATACTCTGTTATACATACTGGTCATTGTAGAGAATAGTCAGACCTGATACTCTGTTATACATACTGGTCATTGTAGAGAATAGTCAGACCTGATACTCTGTTATACATACTGGTCATTGTAGAGGATAGTCAGACCTGATACTCTGTTATACATACTGGTCATTGTAGAGGATAGTCAGACCTGTTACTCTGTTATACATACTGGTTATTGTAGAGTATGGTCAGACCTGATACTCTGTTATACATACTGGTCATTGTAGGGAATAGTCAGACCTGATACTCTGTTTTACATACTGGTCATTGTAGAGAATAGTGAGATCAGATACTCTGTTATACATACTGGGCATTGTAGAGAATGGTCAGACCTGATACTCTGTTGTACATACTGGTCATTGTAGAGAATAGTTAGACCTGATACTCTGTTATACATACTGGGCATTGTAGAGAATGGTCAGACCTGATACTCTGTTATACATACTGGGCATTGTAGAGAATGGTCAGACCTGATTCTCTGTTATACATACTGGTTATAGTAGAGTATGGTCAGACCTGATACTCTGTTTTACATACTGGTCATTGTAGAGGATGGTCAGCCCTGATCCTCTATTATACATACTGGTCATTGTAGGGAATAGTCAGACCTGATACTCTATTATATATACTGGTCATTGTAGAGAATGGTCAGAACTGATACTCTGTTATACATACTGGTAATTGTAGAGGATAGTCAGACCTGTTACTCTGTTTTACATACTGGTCATTGTAGAGTATAGTCAGACCTGATACTCTGTTATGCATACTGTTCATTGTAGAGGATAGTCAGACCTGATACTCTGTTATACATACTGGTCATTGTAGAGAATGGCCAGCTGGTTGCCTTCATTGATGAGAAAGGCGTTGGTACGTCCTGGATGGTCAACGTCGTGGATGATGGCGGATATTAAACTGCAGATGATGTCGCTCTGATCCAGCACGGCCTGTAAAGAAGACATGTATTCACTCAGATTTCTACTGTAAGGAGTCAAACATATCTGGAGTACTTAACCCTTTCACAACTACTGTAGACCATAATGGACTCACCCAGACAAATATATGGTAGAGTCTCCTAAAGTTATCTAGGAGTGAAAGGGTTAAATAATGTCACTCTAAATCCACCAACACAGTATCGCACAAATTTACCGTTACTCTGAGTTTCCTTAAGTTTTAGCAAGTTTTATTTTTAGAATATACTGGGATGACTCTCAATATTTGAAGGTCTATTCTGGTCTTATTTCGTTTGACGTCCTATTAACAGCTAAGGTCATTTAAGGATGTGATTTTTGAAAGTATATATTTAGCTAAACCTTTTACTCAAAGCTAAGTATCACAAAATTAACATTTCTTCAGCGAATCTGTGGTTACTAATGATTATTTCTTTTTGTGGGGGATCCATGTTGTGTTTCCTTTTGTTTCGGTGTCTCCTTACTTTGTTTTACTGTGTTAAATTCCACATCAACTTAAAGTTTGGATCCTATTCTTGTGTTACTACTATTTAACTTCCAAGATATAAATGACCTTACCTTATTTCGGTCCTGCTCCAGAAAATAGGCAGTGGCGTGGAGGACGTCGGCGGCGTGCGTTGAGTTATGGTAAGAATTTGAACTATGGTAGTTTGTCTCTATCACTGTTAACCAGTTCGTTAGACACCTTTCATTTACATGAAAATATTCACAAACTCCAAAACGCATCAATGTCTTTAAACCTAAATACACAAGAGGTCTGAAAAAAAGAAATGGATAAAACAAATCTTAATGCTCAGTTCTGATTCCAATTGTTTTGAATTACCTCCAGTACTCTAAAATGTTTTAAACCCATACAGGAAAGAAATTTTCCGATTATGAAAGATCTCGAAAAATAAAGCAAGCAAACTATTTCTCTTCACAACAAAATCAGAAAATTCTTACTTCTCCGATCCTAATTAAAATTGATTTGGTTTAAAAAATAAATAATGTTAAGATTTTTATTCAGTATTCATTAACATACTGCAAAGGAATCTGAGAAACAAGAGGCCAAGGGGGCCTGTATAGCTCATTTCATTTTCACTTCTATAACCTAGTGTATTAAGCAATATTAGCTGCATCCTACCGACTCAGCTATGAAGAATTTCTCTTTAGCTCATCTGGTGAAGCTAGACTAGTAAAGTCAATAAATTAGACCTCTTGTGGACACATTGAACAAATAACGACCTCATTATTGTTTACATGTGTAAACATATAGCTGTAGTTTAGCATATATACAGTATTCTGGTTATTCTCTTGATGAATTTAGCTTGTCACAACTATTTGACTGTAGAAACCTTTGTTTTGTGGCCTTTTCTAGACTGATGATGTCAAAGTCAGTATAATACTGTAGATACCTGTGTTTTGTGGCCTTCTCTAGACTGATGATGTCAAAGTCAGTATAATACTGTAGATACCTGTGTTTTGTGGCCTTCTCTAGACTGATGATGTCAAAGTCAGTATAATACTGTAGATACCTGTGTTTTGTGGCCTTTTCTAGACTGATGATGTCAAAGTCTGTATAATACAGTAGATATCTGTGTTTTGTGGCCTTCTCTAGACTGATGATGTCAAAGTCAGTATAATACTGTAGATACCTGTGTTTTGTGGCTTTTTCTAGACTGATGATGTCAAAGTCAGTATAATACTGTAGATACCTGTGTTTTGTGGCTTTTTCGAGACTGATGATGTCAAAGTCCCAGGACGGCTCTGATTGGAGGATCACCTTTATATGGTCTGGTACCTGGGCCAGAGTCGTCGGATGGGTTGGAATGTGTGTGTACAGAGGGTGACCTTGCAAGTGACAAAGAAATAATTTTTACATTTTTTTTCGTCTCCAATTGATCATAATGGTGAAATTGTTTATACAGAGGGTGATCTTGCCAGTGACAAAGAAATAATTTTAACATTTTATGGATCCTAATGGAAAAACATTCAATAAATCTGAATAAAGGAGATAACTGGTCTTCACTCTGACCTAACTTACTTGCTTTACTGCTAGAGTTACTGTCTTCACTCTGACCTAACTTATAATTACTTGCTTTACTGCTAGAGTTACTGTCTTCACTCTGACCTAACTTAGTTGATTTACTGCTAGAGTTACTGTCTTCACTATGACCTAACTTACTTCCTTTACTGCTAGAGTTACTGTCTTCTCTCTGACCTAACTTACTTGCTTTACTGCTAGAGTTACTGTCTTCACTCTGACCTAACTTACTTACTTTACTGCTAGAGTTACTGGTCTTCACTATGACCTAACTTACTTACTTTACTGCTAGAGTTACTGTCTTCACTCTGACCTAACTTACTTACTTTACTGCTAGAGTTACTGTCTTCACTCTGACCTAACTTAGTTGCTTTACTGCTAGAGTTACTGTCTTCACTCTGACCTAATTAACTTACTTTACTGCTAGAGTTACTGTCTTCACTCTGACCTAACTTACTTGCTTTACTGCTAGAGTTACTGTCTTCACTCTGACCTAACTTACTTGCTTTACTGCTAGAGTTACTGTCTTCACTCTGACCTAACTTACTTACTTTACTGCTAGAGTTACTGTCTTCACTCTGACCTAACTTACTTACTTTACTGCTAGAGTTACTGTCTTCACTCTGACCTAACTTACTTGCTTTACTGCTAGAGTTACTGTCTTCACTCTGACCTAACTTACTTGCTTTACTGCTAGAGTTACTGTCTTCACTCTGACCTAACTTACTTGCTTTACTGCTAGAGTTACTGTCTTCACTCTGACCTAACTTACTTGCTTTACTGCTAGAGTTACTGTCTTCACTCTGACCTAACTTACTTGCTTTACTGCTAGAGTTACTGTCTTCACTCTGACCTAACTTACTTGCTTTACTGCTAGAGTTACTGTCTTCACTCTGACCTAACTTACTTACTTTACTGCTAGAGTTACTGTCTTCACTCTGACCTAACTTACTTACTTTACTGCTAGAGTTACTGTCTTCACTCTGACCTAACTTACTTGCTTTACTGCTAGAGTTACTGTCTTCACTCTGACCTAACTTACTTGCTTTACTGCTAGAGTTACTGTCTTCACTCTGACCTAACTTACTTGCTTTACTGCTAGAGTTACTGTCTTCACTCTGACCTAACTTACTTGCTTTACTGCTAGAGTTACTGTCTTCACTCTGACCTAACTTACTTGCTTTACTGCTAGAGTTACTGTCTTCACTCTGACCTAACTTACTTGCTTTACTGCTAGAGTTACTGTCTTCACTCTGACCTAACTTACTTACTTTACTGCTAGAGTTACTGTCTTCACTCTGACCTAACTTACTTACTTTACTGCTAGAGTTACTGTCTACCTCTGACCTAACTTACTTGCTTTACTGCTAGAGTTACTGTTGACATCTTGGGTGCTAGCCATCAGTTGTCGTTTCATGGATTGCTGAAAATGGAAACACATGAAAACCATTTCTGCATTAGTAATAGTTCTGGAACCTATGTTATTTATTTATTTATATATAATACAGTCTATAAATATATAAAATGAATGTTTGTGTGTTAACATTTTGCCCTAAATTAATTGACTTGACCCGAACAATGCAAACATCTCAATACTGGAAAAACTTCCACTTTTATTGTATAATAATAATAATAATAATAACTCAAGTTTCTTATATACCACTTTATCACAATCTAGTTCGTAGGTTGTCTCAAAACGGTTCACAAATTATTATCCGTGGTTATAGGGCCTTTGCAACCAGCGGATACCTTTCTTAACTCCCTTGGGAGCATACAGCCGGAGCTGCCATTTCAGCGCTAACAGCTAGCATTCACCAATTCTAGCGCTGCCCAACCACATACTCATTTACAGCTGAGTAGACTGGAACAAGCAGAGTGAAGTAACTAGCTCAAAGATACAACACAGTGCTGTGGTGTGACTTGGACCCGCAACCCTTTGGTCACGAGCCCGGCGTCCTACCACTAGACTATATAGCTACCGTGCGTCCTGTAACTGTGCAAAAAGAAAAGATCTTGCCCAAGATCTCGAGAGGGAATCACGCGATCCATTTACTTACCGACATTATCCCACCCACTAGGTCTGTGGTCATTGGGTCTTCATCGGCGCGGAGTTGCTGTGCTAGAAACGGCGAGTAGAGCTCACTTGTACGTAGGATCTCGAGTACACGGTCTAGGGCCTGCACAACTGTAATAGGGCTGTTCTCTTGAGCTGCATTTATTATGTTAATTACCTGCGCAAGAAATCAGGTTAAAATCATTTCAGTGTTCCTGACAGCTTATACAGGTAATTTTATCAAGATGAAAGGTAACTAATTATCTATCACATGTCAAAATGCAATGTACAAAAGGAAAATATTCTACAATTATCGAATAAATCAAGAGGCTAAAGATGTTTACATGATATAAATAACGGTTTTTTGTCCGACTTCCATGCTTTACATGTCAGTAAGCTAATGGACAAATATCATGACTTTAATTTAAGCATTTAGTTCTTCAGAAGAAGTTGCTTGCATAATTTACAATTTGAACCTTGTGACCTTGTTTTCCTTACAGCATGTAATATTTATTAATAATGATTATCTGCTTGCTTAATGTATAAAAGTGATTGTAAGCCTTTGTTTTGATTTCACAATTATAACTAATACTATTATCTATATGTTGTAAAGCGCCTTAGAGTAATATTACAAATTATATACGGCGTTATATAAATGTTGTATATTAATATTATTATTATTATTAATATTGCATCCTCAAATGTCAAAATAATATTAAGTGAAACTGGAAAATGCTAAAATAAGAAAATGCAATTGCAACCAGAAAAATATTGTTTATAAAAACTAAGGAAAACTGTTTTTAACAATACAAATCAAATTTGAGAATATTAATGTTGTGGAAGTGTGATATGGACTGGAGACGATGTAGTGAACCCATTATTCACAACAGGAAGCTAAGTATTATATACTCTACTGATTCGACAATACCCATGTCTGGTAAAAAGCCCACCCATATTTACTGCAGCACAATAGCCAACAAATACTGTATCCTGTAAAGCTTGAGCACCTAATCATCTGTGTTGGGACAGGATGACCACCTTGTCTTACTGCTAGACAGAAATGATGTGTATGTAGCTATGGATAGTATAGCTAGTTATTAACTGCTGTCTCGATGGACCAATCAACACCTACCTTGGTTATTGGTGCTTCTATTGTCATTGAATGTATTTTGGTTATAGATTCTCGTCGCCGAGGGAAGCCATACACGCCACCTGGAGAAAATTAATTACAATTTATATCTATATACTAAATATAATTTCATGTAGGCTTGTTTTCTTATCGAAAAAACGATGTCACATTTGCAATGGCATATACGTAGTTATAAACTGTGTCGCATTTTCTGTAAGTCACATTGATATCATGCAGCTATGAAATGTGACACATTCTCTCTTGGTCAGAATGACTTAGCTATGAAATGCGACCATGACCTCAGAATTAATGCCCATTAATTGGTTTTCTTTAGTATCTTAGAATACCCACCATTGACAACACTGTTGTGTGATACCCACCATTGACAACACTGTAGTGTGATTCCCACCATTGACAACACTGTAGTGTGATACCCACCATTGACAACACTGTTGTGTGATACCAACCATTGACAACACTGTTGTGTGATCCCCACCATTGACACCACTGTAGTGTGATTCCCACCATTGCCAACACTGTTGTGTGATGCCCACCATTGACAACACCGTCGTGTGATACCCACCATTTACAACACTGTAGTGTGAGTCCCACCATTGACAATACTGTAGTGTGATACCCCCCATTGACAACACTGTAGCGTGATTCCCACCATTGACAACACTATTGTGTGATACCAACCATTGACAACACTGTTGTGTGATACTCACAATTGACAACACTGTAGTCTGATACCCACCATTGACAACCCTGTTGTGTGCTACCCACCATTGACAACTCTGTTGTGTGATACCAACCATTGACAACACTGTATTGTGATACCAACCATTGAAAACACTGTTGTGTGATACCAACCATTGACAACACTGTATTGTGATACCCACCATTGTCAACACTGTAGTGTGATTCCCACCATTGCCAACACTGTTGTGTGATCCCCACCATTGACACCACTGTAGTGTGATCCCCACCATTGACAACACCGTCGTGTGATACCCACCATTAACAACACTGTAGTGGGATTCCCACCATTGACAACACCGTCGTGTGATACCCACCATTAACAACACTGTAGTGGGATTCCCACCATTGACAACACCGTCGTGTGATACCCACCATTTACAACACTGTAGTGTGATGCCCACCATTGACAACACCGTCGTGTGATACCCACCATTTACAACACTGTAGTGTGATACCCACCATTGACAACACTGTAGTCTGTGTCCTTAAATCTCTCCATCACTGAGGTATCTGTTGTAGTTGTCTTCACGGATATAATGTGTGACACTTGCCTAGAATGGCAAAATAATGCAGATGTAAAAATAGATTAGTTATTTCACAGATATTTCAGGTTGAAATAAAATTTACAATTTTGCAATAACTGATTCGAAACATATACACAAATCTTCTACTCGTGAACCTAGACTTGGCCAAAACTGGGCAAAAAAACATTTCTTGCTTTAATACTTTCATTGAATATAATTTGACAGATCTCCGTTATATAGTAGTATATTTGATACATTATTGTTTTACCCCTGATTTACTCTCTTACCAAACTTACCATGTGGGGGACAAACTTACCATGTGGGGACAAACTAACACTGTACTGACAAACTTACCCTGTAGAGACAAACTAAACATGTGGGGACAAACTTACCCTGCATGGACAAACTTACCCTATGGAGACAAACTAACACTGTTGGGACAAACTAACACTGTGGGGACAAACATACCATGTGAGGACAATTTATCACTGTAGGGAGAAACTAACCCAGTGAGGGACAAACTAACCCAGTGAGGGACAAACTGACCCAGTGGGGGACAAACTAACCCAGTGAGGGACAAACTGACCCAGTGGGGGTCAAACTAACCCAGTGAGGGACAAACTAACCCAGTGGGGGGCAAACTAACCCAGTGAGGGACAAACTGACCCAGTGGGGGTCAAACTAACCCAGTGAGGGACAAACTAACCCAGTGGGGGACAAACTGACCCAGTGGGGGACAAACTAACCCAGTGAGGGACAAACTAACCCAGTGGGGGGCAAACTAACCCAGTGAGGGACAAACTGACCCAGTGGGGGTCAAACTAACCCAGTGAGGGACAAACTAACCCAGTGAGGGACAAACTAACCCAGTAGGGGACAAACTAACCCAGTGAGGGACAAACTGACCCAGTGGGGGTCAAACTAACCCAGTGAGGGACAAACTAACCCAGTGGGGGGCAAACTAACCCAGTGAGGGACAAACTGACCCAGTGGGGGACAAACTAACCCAGTGAAGGACAAACTAACCCAGTGGGGGACAAACTAACCCTGGTGGGACAAACTAAACTTGTGATGACAGACTAACCCAGTGGGGGACAGACTAACCCAGTGGGGGACAAACTAACACTGTGGGACAAACTAAACCTGGTGGGACAAACTAAACCTGTGGGGACAAACTAAGCCTGGTGGGACAAACTAAACCTGTGGGGACAAACTAAGCCTGGTGGGACAAACTAAACCTGTGGGGACAAACTAAGCCTGGTGGGACAAACTAAACCTGTGGGGACAAACTAAGCCTGGTGGGACAAACTAAACCTGTGGGGACAAACTAACCCTGTGGGGACAGACTTACCCAGTGGGGGACAAACTAACACTGTGGGACAAACTAACCCTGGTGGAACAAACTAAACCTGTGGGGACAAACTAACCCTGGTGGGACAAACTAAACGTGTGATGACAGACTAACCCAGTGGAAGACAGCCTAACCCAGTGGGGGACAAACTAACCCTGGTGGGACAAACTTAACCTGTGGGGACAAACTAACCCTGATGGGACAAACTAAACCTGTGGAGACTAACTAAACCTGTGGGGACAAACTATTCCCTGTGGGGACAGACTTACCCAGTGGGGGACAAACTAACACTGTGGGACAAACTACCCCTGGTGGGACAAACTAAACATGTGGGGACAAACTACCCCAGTAGGGACAAACTAACCCAGTGGGGGACAAAATAACACTGTGGGACAAACTAACCCTGGGGGGACAAACTAAACCTGTGGGGACAAACTACCCCAGGAGGGACAGACTAACCCAGTGGGGGACAAACTAACCCTGGTGGGACTAACTAAACCTGTGGGGACACACTAACCCAGTGGGGACAGACTAACCCAGTGGGGGACAAACTAACAATGTGGAACAAACTAACCCTGGTGGGACAAACTAAACCTGTGGTGACAAACTAACCCAGTAGGGACAGACTAACCCAGTGGGGGACAAACTAACACTGTGGGACAAACTAACCCTGTCGGGACAAACTAAACCTGTGGGGACACACTAACCCAGTGGGGACAGACTAACCCAGTGGGGGACAAACTAACACTGTTGGGAGAAACTAACCCTTTTGGGAGCTCGAGAAACTTACCCTGTGGGGACAAACTTACTTTTTTGGGACAAACTTACCATGTGGGGACAATCTAACCCTGTGGGGACAAACTTACACTGTTAGGACAAACATAACCTGTGGGGACAAACTTACCATGTGGGGACAATCTAACCCTGTGGGGACAAACTTACACTGTTAGGACAAACATAACCTGTGGGGACAAACTTACCATGTGGGGACAATCTAACCCTGTGGGGACAAACTAACCCTGTTGGGACAAACTTACCATGTTGGGACAATCTAACCCTGTGGGGACAATCTAACCCTGTGGGGACTAACTTACCCTGTGGGGACAATCTAACCCTGTGGGGACTAACTTACCCTGTGGGGACTAACTTACCCTGTGGGGACAAACTTACCCTGTGGGGCCTAATACAGGACTAAAATGACAGTGAGAAGGTAATATCTCTCCATTTTTTCTCCGTGTGTAGTAAGTTCCTTCCCAATACTGTGGAATAAAAAACACATAACAGAACATTGTTTACTGGTTAAGTTAATAAACAATGTAAGGGTCCAAAATCAGGAGTGTCCCTCCACAAAAGGAGAGTTGGCAAATATGACGTTACTAGTCAACAGTGTCAGCAGGTGTGAGATCAGCTCTCCTCTGCTAAAACTTATGCAAATGAAAGTGTATATATAAATCTGAATCTTTGAATTTGTCCATGATCATTTTACTTTTTTCAATTAAAGAAATAAAAAGACATATTTCCCCAATTCTCTTTTTTTATCAAATACATAATTGCTACATGAGAAATGTAACATTGACTCCTCTGCCATTTGTGTGAATGAGGCAGAACTCTGTAACAGAACCTTCTACAATAACAGGTCGGCAAGGAAGTCCTATTAGTCCTTTAATCAGGTGATGAAGATCTAAAGTCCAAATATAACAAAATCGCCTTGTATGCACACAAAAAATGAAAACCTTAGCCAGCTAGCATAGAGACTAAATGTTAATTGCACGAAGGGGTTGACCTCTCCTTTCTCTGAAACAATTAATTTGATGCAAAATGCAAATATTTGTCAATACCTTGAAATGAAAAATATTTGTTATAGAAAAAGCAATGATACTTTTCTTTATTTGAAAATTGCATTGAACAAAATTAATCAAAGTATCAGATGAATTAATAGATCAAGTTATGCCATATTTCATATGAAATGAACACGGTAGAAGTATGTTTGGTGTATTACCTTTCCCTTTTTGAGTTGGGTATTTATAGCGTCCTGGAGATCTGGTTTGTTGTGGTCATTTTTCGTTACTTCCATACAGTCTTTTTCCATCACTTCCTCACTCCCGTATCCCATGAGCCTCTCCCACGCGTGATTCACGTACTGGAAAAACAAGGCAATTTGAAAACAAGAATACTGCAGCCCGAGATTGAAGGAGCAAGATATATAGGACGATAGTCAATTCGTTGAATGTAGGTACATGTAAATCAAAATGCTATGTAATACCCAAGAAACAAGCCATTCCGATTGATGTGTCTTGCCAGTGTGCCCCGCTTTGACCATGAATGCACATATCAGTTAAATAAATTCAATGTAGACATCCAGCATTTGATACATGGGTTGAGATGTTCTACCTAAGATATCGATGCATCTATGGTCCAAGTTTGGTTGGTCTAGCACTTAAAGTTTCAGAGAAACTTACTTAACAGCGAAAGACGGATTGGGTTGAAAAAAAGAGGGAGGCCTTATGCGCAGAGAGACTGAAGTTCAGTAAGGTAAACTTAAACGCAAAAACTTAATGTTGACACCGCCGCTGTCACCGGAATAGCAACACCTTTAAGTCTCACTTCCACTACTTCGTGGCAGCGAGACAAAATGTTGGGCAAATGAATACAGAACATGAAGCACAGGCTTCATAAGATATATAACAACAGCAATTTTGGTGAATGGAAGTGAAATAACAAGGAAATCAAGCTCCTGACCAACCCATGATGTTTCTATGGTAAAATTTTCATTGATCCACACCTTAAATTTTTCAATAAACTGAGCTAAATACAAAACTTTTTTAAAATTTAAATTCTGATGATTTCACTTAATATATTGCATAAAATTTGATTGAGTATTTAAATATTAAATTTTTAAATTTCAAATATAGTATGAGGATTTGAATATTCTTGAATTAACATTTGAATTTCAGATTGGAAAGATATTTACATAATTTTCAAACTTTCAAATCTTTCAAATTCAAATTACATTTAAATTTAAACTTCCCTTAGGAAGATCATTACATCTGTCAAACTTTTACATATTTCAAGCCTTAGGACAATGTATGATTTTGGTATTATATTTTCCCTAAATCCAAATTGATTAAAGTTCAAAACTAATTTGATTTCAAAATTGCTGATTTTGTTATTTTGAAAACTTCCCAATACTTGTTATGAAATATTTCATTTGTGTTTTTATTTATGATTGCTATGCTTACCATTTGAAATTTGTACCAATTCATGAAATTCCGCTTACTTTTCTCTTGGAACCTATAAATTAATTTTTTAACAAACTTAATATCAAAAGAGAGTCAGTCTCATGGGGTCTGAGACATAATGACTCCTTTTTAAGTTGAAAATCTGGTACAATTCAGAGGATTGCCTCTGTGGGTACTGGTTGTATACATTCCCCGATAAAAGCGTCAAAATGAACTCCAATGGAGTGCGGACAACATGTGTAGCCCACGCTCCTTTGGAATTTAAAAGAAAATCTGTTTAAGTACTGGTAAATACATTTTAGAAGGAAGTGCCAAAGATGTGCTTGATGATTGCTAAGGAAAAACTCTTTGACACCTTAACAAAATTGCTTCAATTTTCATTTTTTTTTTATCTCTGTTGAAATAGTTTCAAATATTAATGGCCTGAATGGAGAATTGTTCACAGCTTTCCCCCTTTATGCATAGAACAAGATTCCATGTTTTAAAAGTAATTCTTTTTACTGTAGAATATGAAGACAGACAACAGACATCTCTATTCTGACTCGTTACTTAAAACATTTCCAAAGCTAGGAGTTTCTGGAGCATCAAACCATGCACTTACATTTCTCGTAATACCATTTACATATTTAACACGTTTTGTCTTCCAAATCTGTTCCGAAAAGTTTTTTTGATTTTTTTTTTAATCCTTTTTTGACTGATGACCGCGTTACTCTGTAACAACTTAAAAGTTTTAAAAAAAATAGGTTAGTCTGGACTTTCTGATAACTATACAAAAAAGACGTATTTAGTTGCCATAGTTACCTGAATTTCGTGGTCATCGCTTGCTATCTCCACAGCGTCTGAGACATTGTCAAGAGCACAGAAGAGAGCATTGGCGGCACTTAACTGTAGCTGTGTCCGTACCTCGCCGTACTCCAGACACAGCAATTCATTGATACAGGCACTCAAGTTCTGATTCTCTACAACTCTCTGTAATTACAAATGACATCATGTAATTACTCAAACTGATTCTCTAAAACTCAATGAAATTACAAACTACATCATTTAATTCCCCGAGTTCTGATTCTCTACAACTCAAATTAATTACAAACTTCATCATTTAATTACTCGAGGTCTGATTCTCTACAACTCAAATTAATTACAAACTTCATCATTTAATTACTCGAGTTCTGATTCACTACAACTCAATGTAATTAAAAACTACATCATTTAATTCCCCGAGTTCTGATTCTCTACAACTCTCTGTAATTGCAAATTACATCATGTAATTTCTCAAACTGATTCTCTAAAACTCAATGAAATTACAAACTACATCATTTAATTCCCCGAGTTCTGATTCTCTACAACTCTCTGCAATTACAAATTACATCATTTAATTACTCGAGTTCTGATTCTCTACAACTCAATGTAATTACAAATAACATCATTTAATTACTCGAGTTCTGATTCTCTACAACTCTCTGTAATTACAAATTACATCATGTAATTACTCAAACTGATTCTCTACAACTCAATGTAATTACATGATGTAATTTGTAATTACAGAGAGTTGTAGAGAACCAGAACTCGAGTAATTAAATGATGTAATTACTCGAGTTCTGATTCTCTACAACTCAATGTAATTACAAATTACATCATTTAATTACTCGAGTTCTGATTCTCTACAACTTTATGTAATTACAAATTACATCATGTAATTACTCAAACTGATTCTCTACAACTCAATGTAATTACAAATTACATCATTTAATTCCTCAAGTGGTGGTTCTCTACAACTCTCTGTAATTACAAATTACATAACATAATTGCTCAAGTTGTAATTCTCTACAACTCTGTAATTACAAATTGCATCATCTTATTGTTCAAGTTGCGATTCTTTTAAAACATCTCTCCGTCATTACAAATTACATCATAAAATTGCTCAAGTTGTAATTCTCTGTAACTCACTGTAAATACAAATAACATGATACTGTAAAGTCCTCCATCATTTGAACTCTTTTGGATTCCTTTTCCCTACTTACCATTCCTGACAATTAAGTTTGATATTTAATGGAGGATGTAAATGAATAATCACACACACAACAGGTCACTCAAAGTGAGGTTTTTTAATTACTGAAAACAGCAGAAACTCATCTCTGATTGCAAAATTTACCCAGTGCAGTATTTGATAAAATAATTTAAAGTAATTAAGACAAGATATTGTCATAAGATTCAGAATATGTAAGTTTAATATAAACTGACTTACTTTATTAAACCCTGCCTTAATAAGAGGTAGAACGGACGGTTCGTCTTTATCTGTGGATCTGCAAGAGACAACGTTAACATGGCCATGATACCTGAAACAAGTCTGTATAGGAAACAGTGCAGAAAAGAGGCTGCAGTGACCCATTTTTAATTTGTCACATGACAAACCTTTTGACCATGATGTACAGATCAATGGCCTTGAAACCCGTCTTCCATTAGGCTTAAGGCCGAGGTCAAAGATGAAATAGAAGCTGCTGCACTGCTCCCAAATGCACACATAGTGCTTTCTTATGAATGGTGTACCCAAAAACTAAGTCTTTACAAAAGAACTCTTGAAAATTTAAGTTGTTTATTTTTTTTAAACTTTGACCCCTATGGTGCCAGCTTATTTATTGAAAGTGGGTCAAAATCATGTGAAAGAACCAACTTGAAAGACCTTAATTCATTCCAGCATACTGCAGACCAAATATCATGACCCTAGCGTTCTTGGTTAATCAAAAGAAATTCCTTAAATTTTTCACTATTTTGAACAGTGTGACTTAGAACACTGGTCAAGGTCATTCATTTGAATCTTTGATAGCTCTTTATTCCAACATTTCAACACCAAATTGTTCTCCTCAGTTATTCAAAAGGCTCTGTCTGAAGATTCTTACCGATATGATCCCTTTGATCTTTGTGGATCAGGGTCACTCCTACGACAAACTCGTTCAAAATAGAAAAAAGTTGCATTGCAGCCATCTCGAGTCTCAAAATAAGCATGCTTAATTCATTGAGGGGTCATGAGAAACTTACATGAGAAGGATCCTACCAGTGCAGTGCTTCTTGGGAAATAGCAATAACAAACTTGAACTTTCAAAATCCACGATAGCTACCTGGCAGCCAACCGGTTCTTCCAAAGAATCTCCAAATGTACAATACACAACAAGAACTAAATCCCCATCAACTGAAAATGCTTCCAATCAAATTGGTTGAAATTTTCTCTGTAGTTATTGGGAACCATTTAAAGACAAAGTTTCCAGACAACGGATGGCAAAAGATAGGATTACCTCAATTACCCCTTGATGACAGATGCTGGACAGACGAACGGATGCCAGACGACGGATGCTATGCCATGACATATTCTTACTTTCCCTAATAATGGGTTGGGTTTTACAATGTGTATGATGGGAGAACTTACAATCGTTTCATTACAGCTACAATGACTGTATGCTGGCTGGCCTTTGTTGCCCTCATGGACCTGAAATAAAAACAAAACAGTTAAAACACATCAATATATTGCACAGAATTAAATAATTAATTTCATTCATTTCATGAATTTCCTTTCTGGCGATTACCGAATAGAAGTACAGACAGCAACATGTATTGTCGTCTCTCAAGAAAAAAGTCACAAGCTTTTTTGTGTAAATTGTATTTTAACTCATTCACCCCTGAAATTTCACAATGAACAATTCCAACCTTTGAATTGGAATAGTTTAATCATGTGTCCTCAGGGGTGAGTGAGTTAAGCATCAGTGACCTTGACCTTCGATCAATGACATTTATCAAAACAAGCATAACAGTGACGTGTCAAGAAATATGGCCTCTAGAGTAACGACAGTAAGTGTGACAGTGATTTTAATAATAAGTAACAGCAGCCTTGACCTTCCCCGATGACTGCATTCAAGGGACACAATTACGGTGAAGTTTTATGAAAACCAGCTCTCATGAAATACTGCTGCTGATTGATGATAAGGAGTGAGATGGTAAAATTCTATTTTTAGTATCAGTGACGTTTTCCTTTGATTGATGATAACCACATTCAAATTTGTCCAATGTACCTCCTAGGCGAACATAATTTTAAAGTTTCATGAAAATCATTTCTGAAATATGGTCGCTGGAGTAATGAAAGGGAACGTAACATACATGTGTTTATGGAGAGATATATATCAGCGAAATGCTATATATCCTCCAACTCTTTGTAGTTAAAGAACAATTAAACTTGATAAACAGGTAGTGTTTTTATTGATGAACGTTATTGTGTAGGGTTAAATCTTCTTTTCTGCCCCTTGACATCATCTGGATAACCGTATCTCCAACGTTATCACTTACGAGACGACCATGATAAAAGTCTGCTTTTTAAGCCCCTGCAGAATCAAAAGATTTACATTATATTCCTTTACTGGAGGCACAGGAAAGACTGGGGTCTGCTGTCTCCATAGCAACACGTTGGACCTCTGTGCATAGCTGTCAATCTCCCTCATTTCGACCAAAATTTACCAATTTCCCTCAAAACTCCCAATGATCTCCTAGTTACTGCAGGGTGTGTGTGTAATGATCATAACAGATGTGTCTGAATCAAATGAATGCTTTTTGGGTTATTTTGATCCATAAAAAGTGAAAGATAAATTGAGCAAAGCAGGTTCAATCGCATTTCATGCACTTTCTTCCTCATTGGAAATGAGAATTGAGGTAGATCTCCCTAGTAAGAGGTTTCAGTGGTTGAAACCTAAACTGTCTGTGTTTTCTCCACTAATGTAGAGTCTAGTGACCATAACCTAATTGTTACATTTTAATCTGTGGGTCAGCACATATCTGGTGGAGCCCTGGATGATTGTAAGATGGTAACTGGGTACTCTAAGGTAGATGTGCTTTTGCAGGGTTCCAAAATTTTAGTGGTAACATTTGATTTTTGATATCATGGCTATTAAACTTGAAATTCATGTAATTAACAGATCCCTCTAATCTGATTTTTTTAGCAAATCCACTAAAAAATAATCATTCCGTAACATTTTCTGTGTAGCTATTTATTGATAGAGTATTTGCATTCTTCGACCTTTTTGTACTGGAAATGTGCCAGATTTATTCCTCCATCATTCTGTGAATCAGTAAGGAATTAGACTTCGCGTACGTGTGTTCAGCGGCGATGACCTATAACTTCTACCCTATAAAATATGCAGAACCATATTCAAGAAAGTATAATGAATGGTCGAACGTCTGCAAGGTCAGTCACCGCAGGCTTAAATCTACTGTATGAATGGACGCCAGCCGTATTGGTCTCAAGAAACTTCATCACGAACAATTATGTCGAGCAGAAAATTCATATACATGAAATTCCATTCATGACAAGCTTTTGACCTTCACTGGCTGTCGCTGACCTTTATCTGGGTCACACTCTGACATTCACCGTGCTCTAACAATGCGCCAAAGTTATCTGAGTGCCACATATTGATTGACAATAGAAAACTCAATCAGATTTGATATTTTTGTTAGGGGGCCTCATCAATGTTCTCTCCAGTCGCTCTACTGCCATCACCAGAATATCTATCTTTCCAAATCACACGTATGTCAGACCGCCCCAATGTTGATATGAAAGAATTTCTCCTTCTTTGTGCAGGTCAACAATGATAGTAGCTGGTCAGAGAACTATCTTTTGTGGTTTGATGAAAAAGCTAAATTCTAACTGAAATCCTAAGGGATCTTAACGCTCTCACAAGTTCACAGCCTTAACTCATTGAACTCTTCCAATTCAAAGGTTGGAATGGTTCATTATAAAATTTCAGGGGTGAATGAGTTAATTAAATTGTAACAAAGAAGAACAGATGATCGCAATGAAAAATAACAGTACTGGCTTTTGACCAGAATCATGAACTGATCATTTCAAATTTCAATCAAACAACCCATGTTTGGAGTCAATCTGACTTTTAAATATACAAAAAAAATCACTACTTGTTAATCCTTGAAATTGTGTATCCTGATACCAATTAAAGAATAGCACAGGCTCAGTAACCCTCCAAAAGGCCTTCACGTTCTTGATGGTTCATGCTCAATAAAGGTTTTAATGCAACGTGTCCTGGAGCCATTCGAATCGCAGCCTTTCTAAGCCGCTAAGTTCTACTTGAATCAACAAGATTTATCAATCTTTTCAGCTCAAATACAAGAGACTTGTTCCTACAATTAATTCCAGCTGAATGGCCGATGTGATTGTATATGCAGTCTTTCTGTGGCCGACTTCAATCTACCAGTCGTGTACGTAATTCGCCGAGATGAGCTGCTGATTTTGTTGAACAATTTGCTTGCAATCAGAGCAAGAAACCAGGCCAGCAGAATTGATCACAGCAACATTTTATATGTCTAGGCGATCAATAGCCATTTTATGTTGACAGAAGAAATCGTACCCTTTACATCACCCTAGGGAAATTTCAATTATCCCATGAGTGGAATTCTAAAATATTTCAACTTTTTTATCACAAACCAAGAAAAGGTTAATTGTCCCGTCTATTAACACAGCATTAAGACAACTATTTTTCAAGTTTAGAAGACTCTTTAAACGGTTTATTCTAAGTCAAATACTTAGATACTGGTGAAGGTGGAGGGAGATTTGGCGCTGTTTATTAAGACTCTGGCCTTTTATGCAGATCGCCAGAGATCCATTCCGTAAGTTGACATAGCGTAGAAATTATTCTGGTATTCCAACAGTTACACAAGTGGAGAGTATAGTGGTCTGGAGTGGGTGTTACAGGGTCTGTGCTGAAGCATTCAAGGGAGGTGTCGGTATGAAAAAAGATGATGTTGGAAGCACGCGGTCCTACCACAAAACAAAACTAAACATATATCCAACATGCACCCATGCACACATGTGGAGGTTTTAGATAGGTGGCATAGGGCTAGCCACAGTGACCTGGGTGTTGACTTCGAGACTCTTAAATACAAACTCGTCCAAAGTATTCTTCATACTTGACAATGTGTCAACTTTGAAGAAATGAAGTTGGTATAATAGAGCGGTGACATTGAATCACAATTGAATGGGAAGTGATGGAATTGAATGGTATGGAATGCGATGGGATGGAATGGTACGGAATATGATGGGATGGAATGGGACAGAATATGATGGGATGGAATGGGACAGAATATGATGGGATGGAATGGGACAGAATATGATGGGATGGAATGGGACAGAATATGATGGGATGGAATGGGACAGAATATGATGGGATGGAATGGTACAGAATATGATGGGATGGAATGGGACAGAATATGATGGGATGGAATGGGACAGAATATGATGGGATGGAATGGGACAGAATATGATGGGATGGAATGGGACAGAATATGATGGGATGGAATGGGACAGAATATGATGGGATGGAATGGGACAGAATATGATGGGATGGAATGGGACAGAATATGATGGGATGGAATGGGACAGAATATGATGGGATGGAATGGGACAGAATATGATGGGATGGAATGGGACAGAATATGATGGGATGGAATGGGACAGAATATGATGGGATGGAATGGGACAGAATATGATGGGATGGAATGGGACAGAATATGATGGGATGGAATGGGACAGAATATGATGGGATGGAATGGGACAGAATATGATGGGATGGAATGGGACAGAATATGATGGGATGGAATGGGACAGAATATGATGGGATGGAATGGGACAGAATATGATGGGATGGAATGGGACAGAATATGATGGGATGGAATGGGACAGAATATGATGGGATGGAATGGGACAGAATATGATGGGATGGAATGGGACAGAATATGATGGGATGGAATGGGACAGAATATGATGGGATGGAATGGGACAGAATATGATGGGATGGAATGGGACAGAATATGATGGGATGGAATGGGACAGAATATGATGGGATGGAATGGGACAGAATATGATGGGATGGAATGGGACAGAATATGATGGGATGGAATGGGACAGAATATGATGGGATGGAATGGGACAGAATATGATGGGATGGAATGGGACAGAATATGATGGGATGGAATGGGACAGAATATGATGGGATGGAATGGGACAGAATATGATGGGATGGAATGGGACAGAATATGATGGGATGGAATGGGACAGAATATGATGGGATGGAATGGGACAGAATATGATGGGATGGAATGGGACAGAATATGATGGGATGGAATGGGACAGAATATGATGGGATGGAATGGGACAGAATATGATGGGATGGAATGGGACAGAATATGATGGGATGGAATGGGACAGAATATGATGGGATGGAATGGGACAGAATATGATGGGATGGAATGGGACAGAATATGATGGGATGGAATGGGACAGAATATGATGGGATGGAATGGGACAGAATATGATGGGATGGAATGGGACAGAATATGATGGGATGGAATGGGACAGAATATGATGGGATGGAATGGGACAGAATATGATGGGATGGAATGGGACAGAATATGATGGGATGGAATGGGACAGAATATGATGGGATGGAATGGGACAGAATATGATGGGATGGAATGGGACAGAATATGATGGGATGGAATGGGACAGAATATGATGGGATGGAATGGGACAGAATATGATGGGATGGAATGGGACAGAATATGATGGGATGGAATGGGACAGAATATGATGAGATGGAATGGGACAGAATATGATGGGATGGAATGGGACAGAATATGATGGGATGGGATGAGATAGAATATGATGAGATGGGATGAGACAGAATATGATGGGATGGAATGGGACAGAATATGATGGGATGGGATGAGATAGAATATGATGGGATGGAATGGGACAGAATATAATGAGATGGAATGGTACAGAATATGATGGGATGGAATGGGACAGAGTATGATGGGATGGGATGAGATAGAAGATGATGGGATGGAATGGGACAGAGTATGATGGGATGGGATGAGATAGAATATTATGGGATGGAATGGGACAGCATATAATGAGATGGAATGGGACAGAATATAATGAGATGGAATGGCACAGAATATGATGGGATGGGAAGGGACAGAATATGATGGGATGGAATGGTACAGAATATAATGGGATGGGATGGGACAGAATATGATGTGATATGATGGGACAGAATATGATGGGATGGAATGGGACAGAATATGATGGGATGGGATGAGATAGAATATGGTGAGATGGGATGAGACAGAATATGATGAGATGGAATGGGACAGAATATGATGGGATGGGATGAGATAGAATATGTTGAGATGGGATGAGACAGAATATGATGAGATGGGATGGGACAGAATATGATGAGATATGATGGGACAGAATATGATGGGATGGGATGAGACAGAATATAATGGGATGGGATGGGACAGAATATGATGAGATATGATGGGACAGAATATGATGGGATTGAATGGGACAGAATATGATGAGATGGGATGGGACAGAATATGATGAGATATGATGGGACAGAATATGATGAGATTGGATGGGACAGAATATGATAGGATGGAAAGGGACATAATATGATGGGATGGAATGGGACAGAATATGATGAGATATGATGGGACAGAATATGATGGGATGGAATGGGACAGAATATGATGGGATGGAATGGGACAGAATATGATGAGATATGATGGGACAGAATATGATGGGATGGGATGGGACAGAATATGATAGGATGGAAAGGGACATAATATGATGAGATATGATGGGACAGAATATGATGAGATGGGATGGGACAGAATATGATAGGATGGAAAGGGACAGAATATGATGGGATGGAATGGGACAGAATATGATGGGATGGAATGGTACAGAATATGATGGGATGGAATGGGACAGAATATGATGAGATGGAATGGGACAGAATATGATGAGATGGAATGGTACAGAATATGATGAGATGGAATGGTACAGAATATGGTGGGATGGAATGTGACAGAATATGATTGGATGGAATGGGACAGAATATGGTGGGATGGAATGTGACGGAATACGAGGATGGGAGGCAATGGGATGGGACGAGATGGGATGAGAGGCAATGGGATGGGATGGGAGGCAATGGGATGGGACGAGATGGGATGAGAGGCAATGCTCAGAGCAAGACAGATATGCATGGGGAGCAAGACAGATATGCATGGGTAACACTATGTGCACCCCCTCAGCTTATGGGTGGTTGGTGCAGTGGATAGCGCAATCGACTTCCACAGCTAATCTGATTGGACATGAAATGGTATGGGGTCACCTTCCCGACCACGGGGGTTCTCTCCGAGTGAGTGATTAATTTCATTGAGTAACTTGTTTTAAAATTGTAAAGTAAAGAAAAATTAGATTTAAGCTGGTGTGGGGCATCAAATGATCATGTAAAGAGTAAAAGTAAAAGTTGAGGGTTAAATAAGACGCTATAAGATGCCGGAGGGTTAAATATACTGAGGTGAGTACACTGAGGGTAACATTAGTTGTCCGATACAACAATGGCGTTCACGGAAGCTTCCATGTACAGTTTTCAAACATATTAATACTGACATTTTGTCAATGCAACTATCGACAGCGTCCTATTGAATGGAATTGGCCAACTGATGTTTTATTCAATGTGGCCTAAATTGTACACCCCCTAGTTTCCAGTCTGAGAACCTCAATAGGACCAGGGACTAATCTGCATTCAGGAGGTATCCCACGCTTAATGAGAGTTGGCCTGCAGTAAAATAAGACACTTGTACTGAAGCCTCTACATCATTAAGCTGGATGGGCGATTTGTCGGCATCACCTCACACAATACACTAGTGCTTCAGACAGCCACAGGCCATCGGGCTAATTAATGGTTCAACCATGTCTATAGTATGACCAGCTTTACATCGGAATCACACAAAATATACATCTAGATATTTATGGTTAAAATACACATGCATCTAACATATATGCATGTAACTGTTCAATCTAGGGGTGCACAGCAGTGTAACAGGAAACATTTATTTAAGATACTGATAGCAAGCTCAACAGCTAGAATCATTGAAATGAAACTGAAATACACTTGTCTGATGATGTTGAAAGCTGTTATTTTTCTAAGAATTAAGAATATTTTGAAAATCTTGTATGATTTAAAAAGCTACATTTTTAAGATTTGGAAAATGCCCTTTTTTCAGAAATACCAAAAATACAAAGTTTTCAAATAATTCAGGTATTGAACTTAAAATCCATTCATAAAAATCATTCAGACATTGAATAAAGAATGATTTTGAATATCATTTAAGGAAAAGGTCCATTGGGTCTGTAAGTTACTGATGAATTAACCTCACTCAGGTAATTAATGGGAATCCTAACTGTAAAAACATTAGCCTAACTCATATACATATATAAATGTAATTAAATATAGTTTTCAAACATATGTTAATTACAGATCGCAAGATATCTGTTTTGCATAAGAAAAGACAATCATATAAAAATTATTGTGAATTTTCCATTTTAATTTAACACCTGTCAAATAGCATACACTTAAAACAAGTTTGTGGGTTCTTCAAAAGAAGGTATTTGAAGTTTTTGACATATTTGACCCCTGTGACCTCGAGAATAGTTCAGTCATTCTGTTAGCAAACTTTGTTGTGTCCCATCCAGGGAGCTAACAGTCAAACATCATGACTCAAGGCCTTTCAGTTCTTCAGAAGAAGTTTTTTTTTGGACATATTCGACCTCTGTGATCTTGAAGGTAGGTCAAGGTCATTTTGTTCACAAACTTTACTGGGCTCCATCCAAGAAAGCCATCAGCCAAATGTCATGATTGTAGGCCTTTTAGTTCTAAAGAAGAAGTTGGTCATAAAGGAAAAGTTGATAATGGACAGTGGACAGATGACAGATGATAGATGATGCACTATGGCATAAGCTCAATTGGCTCTTCAGGCAAGGTGAGCCTACAAATCACATTAATAGGGTTCATTCCTAATACGCAAAATCAAGTCCCTGTGAGTATGCTATTGAATTGCTATTGATGAAAAATTTATTTATGGTATACTGCTTTAATTACTTTACTTGTGAGCAAATTACCGTGGAGATAGAATTAGCTTTAACCAATTCCAAGTCTCCCCTGAATATTTCAGAAATAATGTATGTGTACTGCTACTTACTAATATTTCATCTCAAAATACCAGATTTCAGTTTCTGGCAAGATTTATTTTCTTCTGATAAACAGATGTTTCCTCCTAGTATGAACCATTGTAATTGAATCTGAGGAATCTAAAATATAATGCTGGATATTTAGCCAAAAATTAATTGAATCCCCACTACTTTTCCATGTTTTGACAGCTCCTTTTTCTTTCAGCTATCTGATCAGGAATCCCCATTACCTTATAAGGTAATATTTTTACCAAATTAATTTAAAATTGGAGAAGTGGTTCTTGAGAAGAAGTCTTTCAAGAAAACAGAAAATGGATGATTGGCGGCAATTGTTATACCTTGCTAATGGACCAGGTGAGCTAAAACATTGGTGGACGACAAACCGAGCACCAGATCTTATACTAAAACTGTGCCAGGTAAGCTGAAATTATGTACCTACCTGCAGAGAGCTTCTGCATCAAAATGTTTATTATTCCTGTTGTCAATGATGACCACATCTGGATGTTTGTCCAGGAAACACTCCAGAGCACCCTCAGCATTGGTGGCGATACAACACTTATAGCCGATCTTCTCTGTGGCCCACCAATAACCATCACTCTGAGCGTCCTCCTTGGCAAACACCAGGAGTATCTGGAAATGATAATAATAAAAATGTACAGACAACCTCTTAGCTGTAACTTTATAACTATAAATTCACATTTTAGTCCTTGACTCACGAGGACACATATTTCAATTACATCACACAAATAAGTTGTCTTGCAGTAATTCAGGAAAAGTAAAAAAAATACATGCCCATGATGGTCATGAATGTTTAGAGAATTTTGAATTTATTAAGATAAAATAGGACATTTTATTCATGACCTTTGCATGAATAGCAGATTCATGAATACTTTATCAGGAATATTTATGACTTTCATACCAATAATACTCATGAACATCCATGATCACATGAATTCAATCAATTGCTCTTAATTCATGAATATCCATAAAGTGTTTTACTCATTAAATCAAAGTTCAAGAATATTTATCAAACATGCATGAATTTTACAAGAAGCATTCATGAATCTCATTCATTAACCATTCATGAATACTTTATGACTGAAGGTTTATTATTTAAATTCTGTCATTACTCCAAGTATATTGAATATTGAACCTAGCTCAGACTTAATAATACCAATGTTGAACTTTGACAATGCTCTTTGAAATATTTTGCCTCCATTTTCCAATGACATTTTTCCAACAGAATATTTTAAAATGTTAACTAGAATTTGGTAAAGTGTAAAGAAGAGAGAAAATATTTTGAGAATTTGCTTTGAAAATTCTGTCTAGTCTAATCTGACAAAATTACTATAATTTCTTAGAGGCAGCCATTCAGAGAGACAATGCCATTTGTTGCTTCTCATAAATGACAGGTGTATATTAATTAAAACAATCTCTTTTTGACAATAATTTTTTGAAGGATTTGATAAAAGCTATATGTTGATATTTAAATCCTACCGATTAGTGGAACTGTTGAGTTAACTCGGACATTTATGATGGAGAATTTGAGTACAAAAACTAATCACATATCCTTAAATGTCATTATTTGCCGCGATCTGTGCCACTGACATTTCTCTGATACAAAATAAAGCTCAGTCTGTACCCAATCACCTGGGATCATCCATCACAGCCTTTCCACAAAGCATTCCAATTTCATGATGTTGATATGATAATGACTTCCACTTTATGACTCAACATAATATTGTGACATTTACAGTAAATTATTGTATCTAGTTTGTGAGTGCATCAGTGCAGATGATATACAATACAATCTACAGTATACACATCAGACAACAGGATATTATTACAAAGATCCACACACGAATGCCTGCTCGTTCCAACATCCATACCTGCTAATTAGTTCTCAACAATGAATTTAAGGTCAAAGATGGTCAAAACGAAAGGTCATACCTGGTTACTGCAGGTAATTTCAGTATGTGATATTTTTTTCGTAGGCATCAGAATCGGAAATAATTAGTGTTGCATTTAAACTATCAAGTTTTGCATTTAATATTCTTGTATGTGTTTTTTAAGGAGTATATCAATATTTATAGATTTGAAAGGTGACTTCTACACATTTTTAATATTTGGATAAGCAGTGAAATGCAGGAGATTCAAAAAATTCTACGATCTGTGCAGCCGGTCATGTAGGTCAACAGCAAATATGATAGCAGGGACTTGTCAGGTATGAACATCATTTAAAAGCTCAGTTTTATGTCTTCAAATTTATAGATCTAATGTCACGTTTCACATCTAATTAAAAAATATTTTAAATTCCAATTATGACAGATTATATTATATTGTTGTGATATTAACTCATTCACCCCTGAAATTTCATAATGAACTATTCCAACCATTGAATTGGACGAGTTTAAATGTGTCTTCAGGGGTGAATGAGTTAATGAATCAAACATTTTGCCTGACAGTGTTGTGTGACTGGGTTACGACTACAATAAGGATATTCTGTGTTTCCCTTCACCGAGTTACTATCACTAGTACATTGTTGTGTGACTAGGTTACGACTACAATAAGGATATTCTGTGTTTCCCTTCACAGAGTTACCATCACTAGTACAGTGTTGTGTGACTGGGTTACGACTACAATAAGGATAATCTGGGTTTCCCTTCACCGAGTTACCATCACTAGTGCAGTGTTGTGTGACTGGGTTACGACTACAATAAGGATAATCTGGGTTTCCCTTCACCGAGTTACCATCACTAGTGCAGTGTTGTGTGACTGGGTTACGACTACAATAAGGATATACTGTGTTTCCCTTCACCGAGTTACCATCACTAGTACAGTGTTGTGTGACTGGGTTACGACTACAATAAGGATATTCTGTGTTTCCCTTCACCGTGTTACCATCACTAGTGCAGTATTGTGTGACGGGGTTACGACTACAATAAGGATATTTTGTGTTTCCCTTCACCGAGTTTCCATCACTAGTACAGTGTTGTGTAACTGGGTTACGACTAAAATAAGGATATTCTGTGATTCCCTTCACCGAGTTACCATCACTAGTGCAGTGTTGTGTGACTGGGGTACGACTACAATAAGGATATTCTGTGTTTCCCTCCACCGAGTTACCATCACTAGTACAGTGTTGTTTGACTGGGTTACGACTATAATAAGGATATTCTGTGTTTCCCTCCACCGAGTTACCATCACTAGTACAGTGTTGTTTGACTGGGTTACGACTATAATAAGGATATTCTGTGTTTCCCTCCACCGAGTTACCATCACTAGTACAGTGTTGTTTGACTGGGTTACGACTATAATAAGGATATTCTGTGTTTCCCTCCACCGAGTTACCATCACTAGTACAGTGTTGTGTAACTGGGTTACGACTAAAATAAGGATATTCTGTGTTTCCCTTCACCGAGTTTCCATCACTAGTACAGTGTTGTGTGACTGGGTTACGACCACAATAAGGATATTCTGTGTTTCCCTTCACCGTGTTACCATCACTAGTGCAGTATTGTGTGACGGGGTTACGACTACAATAAGGATATTTTGTGTTTCCCTTCACCGAGTTTCCATCACTAGTACAGTGTTGTGTGACTGGGTTACGACCACAATAAGGATATTCTGTGTTTCCCTTCACCCAGTCACCATCACTAGTACAGTGTTGTGTGACTGGGTTACGACCACAATAAGGATATTCTGTGTTTCCCTTCACCCAGTCACCATCACTAGTACAGTGTTGTGTGACTGGGGTACGACTACAATAAGGATATTCTGTGTTTCCCTTCCCCGTGTTACCATCACTAGTGCAGTATTGTGTGACGGGGTTACGACTACAATAAGGATATTCTGTGTTTCCCTTCACCGGGTTACCATCACTAGTACAGGGTTGTGTGACTAGGTTACGACTACAATAAGGATATTCTGTGTTCCCCTTCACCGAGTTACCATCACTAGTACAGTGTTGTTTGACTGGGTTACGACTATAATAAGGATATTCTGTGTTTCCCTCCACCGAGTTACCATCACTAGTACAGTGTTGTGTGCCGGGGTTACGACTACAATAAGGATATTCTGTGTTTACCTTCACCGAGTTACCATCACTAGTACAGTGTTGTGTGACTAGGTTACGACTACAATAAGGATATTCTGTGTTTCCCTCCACCGAGTTACCATCACTAGTACAGTGTTGTGTGACTTGGTTACGACTACAATAAGGATATTCTGTGTTCCCCTTCACCGAGTTACCATCACTAGTACAGTGTTGTTTGACTGGGTTACGACTATAATAAGGATATTCTGTGTTTCCCTCCACCGAGTTACCATCACTAGTACAGTGTTGTTTGACTGGGTTACGACTATAATAAGGATATTCTGTGTTTCCCTCCACCGAGTTACCATCACTAGTACAGTGTTGTGTAACTGGGTTACGACTAAAATAAGGATATTCTGTGTTTCCCTTCACCGAGTTACCATCACTAGTACAGTGTTGTGTAACTGGGTTACGACTAAAATAAGGATATTCTGTGTTTCCCTTCACCGAGTTACCATCACTAGTGCATGTCTTCTATCATTGTGTGAATTAGGTATGTCACTCTGACAAATTATGTTCATTAGCATTTCCTGTCTGCACTGAAATAAAAACGCACTGCACCAATCAACAAGTCGCCGACACCACTAAACAACAACTCACTTCTATGCTATTAAACCTGTTTGCTTCAACAGAAGGAGAAGAATTTTAAAGATCTACTTTGATTTTCCTTTTTGGGTCCTACCCATCTGCCCTTTAGCTTTGGGGGGGGGGGGGGGGGCACCCTCTGTTAAAGTCCCCTTCCCCAAACAATGCTCCAAACTAACTTTATTTAAAATCTAAACAGTCCTTCTAGATCAGTAGCATTTTAAAGACAAAGCTCCATTATAACCTAGAGATGATATATAGCACTGCACGTTTGAGAGCATTATGATCACAAGGTCCTTTGGGTCAGAAGAGCTAACACAAGGTCCTTTGGTCCAGAAGAGCTAACACAAGGTCCTTTGGTCCAGAAGAGCTAACACAAGGTCCTTTGGTCCAGAAGAGCTAACACAAGGTCCTTTGTGCCAGAAGAGCTAACACAAGGTCCTTTGGGTCAGAAGAGCTAACACAAGGCCCTTTGGGCCAGAAGAGCTAACACAAGGACCTTTGGGCCAGAAGAGCTAACACAAGAACCTTTGGGTCAGAAGAGCTAACACAAGGTCCTTTGGGCCAGAAGAGCTAACACAAGGTCCTTTTGGGCCAGAAGAGCTAACACAAGATCCTTTGGGCCAGAAGAGCTAACACAAGGTCCTTTGGGCCAGAAGAGCTAACACAAGGTCCTCTGGGCCAGAAGAGCTAAACATTTAAATAAATGTACTATACTTGAAGTTGAAGATAATTTCATCTGTTAAACTACTTAAATTATTTAACATGTGTACCAAATTTCATTAACATCAGCTGAGTTAAAGTAGATGTGTAGCTAAACTTAAAGTTAAATCAAATGGAGGAAATGCTCTGGACAACCTGTCCATTTAACCTGTGACCTTTAATTTGGTGACCTATATGTTGACCTTTAGTGTAACTTTGAATTTTCAGAAGATGTACATATGAAAAT